CTGTTGCAGACCTTCATCAACCAACAACTGTCTTCGCTGGCTCTATACTGAAGATGAGATGGCCGGACCGGAAAGAATCACCAACAACAAGAAACTATGGGTGGGAACAAACAAACAAACAAAACAAGAACCAATCGCCAACCAACAAATATGCAGGAGGAAGTGGAGATGGATCGGACACTCACTCGCTGAGGAGGCCGCTGGGTGACATCGCGCGTGAAGCCCTCGAGTGGAACCAAGCCGAAAGGGAAGCACGTGGCGAGTGGGACGTCAGAGCAAGAGTGATATGGAGAGGATCGTATGAAGAGAGAGGAGTTGAAACAGTATGGACTAACATGGATGCATGTGAAAAGTACAGCAGAAGACAGAAGCAAGTGGAGATGTGCAGTTGAAGCCCTATGTTCCACTAGGAACCCAGGGGAACAATAATAATAATATAATGTATTATTAAAATATGTCCTAGAAAATGCATTACATAATGTGGGGTGTAATTAATCTAGGAAGTAATGACCAAGTAAAACTCACCAAATGGAAGTAGGAATTACGTAATAAGTATGAGAAACTATCCAATCAATATAAATGGACAAAATGTATCATAAGCTAAGGAGATAGGGTGAAGTGTCTATATATAGAACCTGTATAAGAAATGCAATGTCATTAATAAGCTGTCTTCGCTCAATACTCAAGATCAGATGGCCGGTCAGAGAAGATCAGCAGGAAGAAATGAAGATGGATTGGCTATAGTCTGAAGAAACCATCAAGTGACATCACTAGACAAGCCATTGCTTGAGTGGAACCCGAAAGAGAAGCGGCGAGTTGGTTGTCAGAGCGAGGGTGACTTGGAGGAGGTCAGGTGAAGAGAAGATGTGATATGTATCCACATGTGTGTCCTGTTTTGACAGTCTATTATATTTTGCTATGTGTATATGGATCGATATTTCGTTATAACTGACAATATGCTTCTGTCTGTCCACTAACTAAATAAACATGTAAGACCTTGTTGTCACATGACATTACAACCAATCATGTTAAGACTGTCTATTTATTGGCTCATGTGTATTAGCCATTTTCATATATACTTTTGTACTATATTCTTGTTCCCACGTTCGCACACTACGTACCATTTCACTCACACTCTTGTGTGACATTTATTTTCTTTGTCTGGAAAATACAAGTATCATCGTAAACCTGGTGGTCTTCTGATTTCCCTACTTCCGCGTCAGGACTATTAACTACTCGACGAGTACATAAGAAGATGAAAACATGTGGACAGACTTGGAGCCAGGTGAAAACTTTAGCAGAGAACCGAACGCAATGGAGACGTGCAGCTGAAGCCCTATGTTTCTCTAGGAGTTAAAGGAAATAATTATAATAACAACAGACTCATGCGGCAAGAATGTTACTGTGGCCACAGTAAGGCGAAGTGAGTGCATGTAATGATTTGGAACAGAAAAATAAAGACAAAAACCCAAAACTTGAAGCTTTTCTCTGTGTTTCTTATTTCACCCACCAGTGAAGTTACTTCGCTATAGCTCTTAACCAACTGTACCATTCGAGAAACACTGATAACTTCTGAAGCTGGCAGAAGGCGAAGAAGAACACAAGTACACTACTAGTTCACAATGACTATTATTCTGTATATTAACTTCAAATGTGTGCGCAGGTGTCTAAGCAAATATATTGACATCGAGTATGCTGATACACATACAATTTATAAAATTAATCGAACCATAATTCTTGATACTTTGAAACTATTCACTATATTATAATCTCCAAATATGTATAAACAATAACTTTAATGACATTCAAATCAGACAAGTAAATGAGTAAATAGGTCAGCCAGTCAGTCAGTCTACCTGGCTGTGTTTAGCATTATTCACTAGACGTTACAATAAATCGATGGCGCACAAACATCACAAGCAATAGCGTGTTCATAAATATCAACATTTTGTAGAGTAACCAATTTACTGAAAAGGATATACGTTATAAATTGCTGAAAAATATTGAAACTCTGCATCTGTTATTAATTGCTAATCATTACAGCCCGCATAGCCCACGAAAATGAAAACAGACTGCTCTGTGTTAGTAAGAATAAAATATGAAATATTCTGCCTCGACCAGATGGTTTAATTCCCCCCAGACTTGTCTCTAATCTTGTCCGCCACGCACGTTTCGATTCCTCCGTGACGCATTCCACTCAACATCGTCAAGTAAGTCTGTAATAAGACTAGTGAAAAGGGAAGATTGGATACATTCCAAATCACATCTTTGTGTATTCTGGACTAGGGAGAGTGGCCTGGAAGAAACAGTTAGCTGTCGAATAATAGTCAAATAGTATTCGTAATCAACTCATCTAAGTCCAGCATCGATCGGTATCCCTATTCTATTAATCCAACGTATGTACAGACGTAATACCCCCCTCCCCCAGCTACTTAAACTTCAATGCGCAATGTTCTCTTCAGAAGATATAGGAATGAAAAAAGCCTGTTTTAACCGGGTTTAGCCACTTCCTATCAACAGTTACAGTGTGAACATAAGTCAGGATTCAAGTACTGGTTTGTAGGGATTTGGTTACAGGATTTCATCATGAGCTGACATTAGTTAGAGAACCATTGGAAAACCAGCTGGGAGTGCTGGACAGCTGTTTCGTCCTAGTTTGGGACTCCTCATCAGTGCGCACCCACCCTCCACGATTCAAAACCAGGACCTTCTGGTTACAAGACGACCTCGTATACCATTAAGCCACTGGGACCCAATCCAATGGCCAGTTCATGAATTCTAACTTCTACCAATTCACGATACAGCACAGCCGCTAGCCAATATCTTCGGCAAGTATTTGTCCTCACACCCTACGTGCTGCGCCCTACTGGTCACGACTTCCTACTAGAACCCCAGGTAACTACCTACCTGAATAGGCCAAGTCGCTAGTGAGCATCTCATTGATATTCAAGTATTCGTCAGGATTGATTAACACAATTAGGTATACTTTAGTTTATTATTTATCGAATTATTTCCAGTGAGTCACTTAACAGTTTAGAAATCCGTTAAAACGTATCTTAGAATAAAGTAGATTCGTACATTGAAAAAAGCAAATACTTCAATAACCACTTGGATTTGCAGGCTGACTGACTGATTTCTTCTTAGAATACCTGAAATGGAAACAGCATTAGTGCTGTATGACTGCAGATTCCAGGGGACAGATGTTTGAGGCCGGTTTTTCAATTATGTCCGTATTAAGATTTTACTTTCAGCTACGGGCCGTCGGAGGGTAAGCAGAAATGCATAACTTTCATTTCACACCCAATCATTACCTACGACATCAACACAATCACCTGTCAGCCTAAGGTTAACGTAGATATTACTATTACTACCACTTTATAGAAACCCTAAATGCCCTGATGATACTTCCGAAAAAATGTAGAAGACAGAGCTTTAAATGTATGACTTCACAAAGAAGTGCCTCAGTTCAAGTTGCCACACCCCATGTAGCATACAATGATAGAGAAAAAAGAGATCTAAATGAACTAAAATGAACGGGAATGCACGGACAAGACAGAAAAATTACATGGGAAAACATGAAGAACGAATTCAGGTCTTCTGACCAACAGCTTCAAGTCATTCGTTCTTAGCATCTCGAGGATTTCAGTCAAACAGTCTATATCTTCCAATGTGGCTCAAACCAACAGTCAAAGACGCCTAGGATGATTTGATTTCAACACACCCTTAACGCTTTTCCAACCTATTCTTATGTCAGCTAATATTGATTGATAGGGAAGACGACGATGGCTTAGCACGTGTAATATGTCCTTGTCACTTACCTTACAATCGTTTTACTTTTAACACTCTACTCCTAACTTCAATATTATTCACTAGACCATACTAAATAATACAAGAAATGGGAAACAAATACCTATGAACATAAAGGCAGCTAACTTCTGCTAGTCTTCTACTTGTCTCTGTCTGTCTGTTTTCGACATAGAACTTTGCACAGATGTGCACCAGTTCAAGTCGCCACACTTCCTCCATGTAGCACACAAAGCAAGAGAAGAAAGTACAAGATATGCATAAGAGACAGTAAGCAGAGGTGTGAGACAAAGGAATAGTAATAACGAAGAACAATATAGTTTCATTGGAAATCATAAGTCACAAGGAGTGGATGAATCTGCGTTAGCCACTGAGAACGATCACTTTGAGCCATATCACCAATTGTCTCCAGCCGTTGGTGTTTATCGTCCCGAGGACCCTAACCCGGAAGTCTACACCTTCCTACGTGACTGGCTGCCTCAAACTAACTGTTGTGAATTTCATTGAGTGATGGGGCCACGTTTTCGTCTGACCGCCGCTAGCTATTTTCCAGACTGACCAATGCTATGTCAGCTAACATTGCCCGTCAGTCAAGGAAGGCGATGGTTAGGCATGCCTGAGTAACACATGTCCTAACCATCTCGTCGATTGATTTTACCTCCCTCCTTACCTACCACTCGACACCTAAATTCAATGTTGCTCACCCTATTATACCATTTCACACGGGATATACAACGCAGGCACCTATGATCGAAGACAGATCATCTTTAATGTCCCCACTCTGAATGACCAGGTCTCACAGCCAGGCATAAAAGAGGACGGAGTGGACTGATGAGCAGTACACACGCCCTTTGGTCAATAGCCACCCGGATATCACGTCCACTAGGCCACAGACAGCGTAAACTGGCATATGCGAAACTAGCCCTCTGTATCCATGCAGAGATTTCGTCAGAGATCAACCCTCTGGCGTTGGCTGATGAAACTTCCCAAATAAGTGAAGCGGTCAACGTGTCCCACCAACCCCTTCACTTTCTATTTCTAAACTAGGAGTCAGTATAGTCCAGTCCAGTTCAGTCCTGTCACATCAACATCATGGCTGTGTTTCACAGCCATTTCAAAAAGAAGGACAGAGAGATCACCAGCTAGACAGTACACAAGTAACCAGATATCAGGAATACAGAAACAAGACTGTAAACTATGTTAATGAGTGAGTAAAATATTTATGATATTTATGAATCATTGTCACATACTACAATATATGTATATAATAATATAATATATAAAGGTTGATTGTATTAATATTCAAACACCGAAAAGAAGGAAGTGATTATTGATTGTTTAGCAATTAGGGTAAATGTGAAGTATATATGTATATATGTCATTGTGTTAAATAGAAACAGTTAAATAAATATCATGAACTACATAGAGTGTAAGTTTAGCATAAGCAAATATAATAAAATAACAACAGTAATAAAGGGTTATATCTATCTGTACCAAGACTTCAGTACATAAAAAATAACAATATTCGTTGTACTACTACTCATCGACTAGGCGTTGAAGAAAAAAAAGGCACAAAACATATAAATGGAATTATTTGATTGCAAACAAAGGGGAAAATAACAGCGATAATAATAATAAGAGTACACATATCAATACGAAAATAATAATAATAATAATAATAATAATAACAATAATGAGGTGTTAAGATGTTTAACATCCCGGTGACTGTAAGAGTACACCGTTTCTAGCCGATGATCGACCACCAATTAATGCAGGCGGATTTTTGTTGTTGTTATTATTATTATCGTTATTCACAAGAAGATTATCATGATGTGATTGATTGTTGTTGTTGCTGTTGTTAGGGATTCTGCCTACAACAACAGGATTACTGTTCGATAATTTCCCGGGTGTACCTTCTCCGTCTTCTTTTATATTATCGCTTAACGAGGCGGCAGTGGATAAACGAGATAGGCTGTAATTTTGTAGCAGGGCAAATCGTGCACGAACTGGACTAGCTCCAACTAACAGGCGATGAATAGCTTCTGCATTTTGTAACTGGAACAAAGGAAATGTGTGTTGAAAGGAAAACACAAAAGAAATAAGGTGTGATAGACGGACGGACAATTTATGTTATATTATATAAAACAGAAATGGAAGGGTAAGAGTCTTTTCGTAGCTTCTCTCTGTTTGTCTATCTGTCCGTCAGTCCATGTATAAAGGATATCTCAGAAATCATTACAAGACTCTTCAAACTTTTAGGAATTGATATCAGACACAAACTAACAAAGTCACCTCACATAATTCTATGTCAACCAAAAGACTCAACAGCGAAAGAAGATGAAACCAACATCATCCACAAAATAGATTGTAACAACTGTGAAAAACACTACATTAGCCAAAGTGGACGTCCCCTTCGTCTTCGTATCCACGAAGATAAGTTAGCCGTCAAAAGACATGATATCCACTCCCTAATATCACTACATACAGATAACCACGGACATCAATTCGACTGGGACAACCAGCGTTCAGATATTATACAGAGGAAACAACAAGAATGCTAGAGAATTTTTAGAAGCCTGTCTGGTATTCCAGTGAATCATCAGTCAATAGACACATCGAGATCGACAAAATTTATCAACCAATAAGAAGGAAATCTCACTTAAAAAGGGTCAGGGCTCAAGTCAAGGAAACAATCAGTTCCAATACAAGTATCCTAGACGGTTTGAAAACACACAAAGACAGCTAATCACGTCCAAGGTCACCACCAGGAGAGATGATTGATAAAATCGTGGAGAAATTCAAAAGCTCACTTCAATTCAGATTGAAGTATGTGCTGAAGATGTCGCCTAGTAGGGCGATGAAAGCTTCGCAAATTAACTATCCAGCTCAGACAACATAACCACATCAAAATCATCCACCTGAGCTACAAATCTTCTCTATCATATCTACGTGAAATTTAATTATACCGTTAGGATTCTCCAGTTGAAAAGACAGTTTAAACCATGTCATTACATTGTTAGTCACAAATCTTATAGGCAGACATACCTAAAGGATTCGGTAATTAACCCACACTCTATCTCTCTCTCTACCTAACTATATTACTTTTTAATACTTTTACCTCAGCAGGGTCAATCATTCTAGCGAAAGCAAAACTTCTATGTTCTGATAATCTAAATTACCCTGACCTACTTAATGGTTTGACCTGTGTAATCTGACCACACAGACAGTCATTACCGTCATGGTACTCAGTAAATTGTATTATTTTTTCTTTTCGAATTGATTCTATTAAGATTTTTACGATGACAAAATTTGTCCTACCTGAGTGAAAGCAGAGAACACGAAGTTCAGCAAAGATGACGATCTTTTAGGCGATTTCATTTTCAAAAGCAGTTGTACAATCCCATTTAAATACATAATTTTACATGGACACAATTCCATGTTTGATTCCACATAATTACGACATCTGATCAACACATCCCACAACATCTCAACTGATTCATTCTTTCGAAGTAATTTATAAAGGCAACAGAAACCTACCAAAAGCAGTATGTTTACGACTTCTCTGTACTGCAGAAACCCTCACAATATGTATGCATCGAGAAGCCGGAGCTGTGTGTTCGAAAGAAATTAGTCCAACCTCTACAACTACCATGGACCTAGTTCGGTATGTTCCATTAGCTTCCGTTTTTGCTTTTCTTCTTTCGTTCTCTTTTTTCTTTTTCATCTTTTTTCCTTCTCTGTGTGTGTGTGTGTGATATTCTTGATTCCTCTGTCTTTATTCGATTCATCCCATTTTTTGAGTTATAAAAACAGTTATTTTAAGTTTGTTCCCATGCTTTTCCTGTTCACACTTATAATTCTTTTAAAATTAGCTATTTTTACAATTACATCTTAATCCTGTGCAATTTTTGTGTTTCTAAGGCTCTTGTAATCTATATTCGCACCTCCCAACTCCCATCTCAAGTTGAAAATTATTACTTCACTTTTGTTTCCATGCTCATTTTCACACACTTGTTATCCGTTCTAATCCTGTGTAATTTTGTTTCTAAGCCTCTCGTAAAAAACCATATCTAGTTGAAAATAATTATGACCTTTTATTCGCCGTCGTAATTATGTGGAATCAAACATGCAATTGTATTCATGTAAAATTATGTATTTAAGTGCGATTGCACAGCTTTCGAAAATGAAATCGCCAAAAAGATAGCCATCTTTGCTGAACTTCGTGTTCTGTGCTTTCTAATGCCCATATGGGTATTTTCCACTACCTGAGTGAGTTTGTTGATTTAAATGCCACGCTAATTCAAGCCTTATTAACAATCCTGTTCAAGAGAGGCTGATGTTCCTTATTTTATTCATATCACATTGTCGTGCTTCCCTTTCTGCCTAGTTCCACTCGAGCAATGTCCTGACGCGCTCGCGATGTCACTTAGCGGCCTTCTCAGCGAGTGAGTGTCCAATCCATCCCCCTCCACTTTCTCCTGCATATTTGTTGGTTGGCGATTGGTTCTTGTTTTGTTTGTTTGTTCCCACCCATAGTTTCTTGTTGGTGATTCTTCCCGTCCCGGCCATCTGATCTGATCCTCAGGATAAAGCCAGCGAAGACAGTTCTTGGTTGTTGAAGGTCTGCAACAGGCTGTTGGAAATATTCATTGTGAATCGCCCGTCAACTTTCTGATCCGCATAGAGAGAAGAACTGACTTGACGTTTGTATTGAAAATCCGACCGAACTTTGTTGTTGATACTGGCTGAGTGACGAAGATTTCCAGATTGGTTTCAGGTTGATGAATGTGTTTCTCGCCTTCCTGATTCTCGCTCGATTTGACATCCTCGTCCGTTCCGTCTGTCTGTAGTTGAGACAATGCTCCCTAGATAAGTGAGTGAATGAAGTAACCTCTTTCAAATCCTTCCCGTTGATGGTGATTGGTGCTAGATGTTCCTGTTGTTGTTGGTTATCTTCATAACCTCCGTCTTATCTATGTTCACCTGGAGTCCTTTCTTCGCCGTCTGCTTCTTCGACCAGTTTGTCGGCCGGTTTTCGCTTCTAAGCCTTCGATTTTGTGTGACATCAAACATAAATCATCCACGCGCGAAATCCAGGTCTAGGTTCTTCACGTCGGTCCAGGATAGATATCCCTGTCTGCTCGTTTCCCACACACTGTCTGACGCATAATCCAGTCAGTCCACCACAATTAGGAATATCATTCATTGGTGATATTAAGCACCCTTGTCTGACTCCTGTGTTTACTCCAAACGCCTCGCTGAGTTTTCCGCTGTGGATCACTTGACAGATGGAGTTGTCGTACAGCTGTTGAATAAGGTTGATGAATATTTGGGGTACGCCATAGAACTCGAGTAGTTTCCAAATCACTTCACGATCAACGCTGTCGAAGGCCTACTCAAAGTCTATAAAGTTGAGGTAGTGGTTTGATTGCCATTCCATGCTTTGTTCGATGATGATACGTACAGTTGCAATTTGGTCAGAACATGATTTGTCTTTCCTGAATCCAGCTTGTTCTGGTCGGAGTTGTGTATCCAGTGCGTCCTTTATTCTCTCTAGGATATCTATCTATTTACTAATAATATTTCCCTTATTTATACGACTGTATTATTTAAATCTTCTCATCAATTATTATTACTGTTTAGTCGCCTGGCTAGAGATTATTAAATAAATATTTTGGGTATGGGATCAATTAAATAAAGCTTAAGTACATCTATTAGAATGTGATAGTTCCCCATAGATACTACTTGACATGCAAATGATTATCCTGTTTTCGTGTCATTTTATAGTCAAGCATATAGTTAACTCATCCTTGGATTCTGTCTACTACTGCTGTGGTGAGAGCTGGCTGTTAGTCAAAATTGGTGGACAGTAATTTACGCCAATGTTTATGTCTCCAAATACTGGTCGTGAGAAAAATGAGAAGAAAGGTTTTGCGTAGACGGCTACAGTTAACATATAGATGACAAGTTGCCTGGCCCTTGGTCTTCTGTTGTTACACTACTACTTATACTATTACTACCATTGAGTTTATATATGTTTGAAGAGAGCTTATACATAAGTGTGGAGATATTACACATTAATAAAGACTTTAAACTAGAGCATTTACATACACACAAAACTAAACATTAAGAATGAATGACGAAAACAGCTAAACACACACACACACAAATACAGACTACAAACCTTTATTCTACACCAATTCGGTGATGGCATATTGAAATAACAGTCGACCAATTGACGTAATAAGTGCAGACTATCATTGAAACCATGAATTATGACTGTAGATACACCGTCAGTTGAGGATGATACTTTCATGTTCTTATTCTTATTATTTTTTATTTGCGCTGTTAATATATCAATACACCAAATAGTGCCGAACAAAGACCAAGCCTTTTGAACAAAGAGAGGGGAAAAAACAAACAAAAAGCGGAGCGCATTATCACGAGTGTTGGAATAACAATAAAGCCAAACAACAGAAAAAATAAATGAAAAAACACAAAACAAATAGCAATAGTTACATTTGTATAAATATATTTATAAATATTTGCTTAGCCTGTAAAATGTGTAATAACGCTTTTATAATAGTAATTGTTATTATTATTATTATTATTATCACTATAAAAGTACATTCGGAAAAATGACGGAGACATACTATAAAGCGTTTAAATAATAAACCAGAATATCATTATATATATATAAGATAAAAAGACTGTACAATGAATAACGAATTAGGCGCGCGCGCGCCCGCTCACGCAAACAAACAAACCGATTGGCAAAATTATTCAACAAAAATCATGTATGATATAAACACCGTTTTAGTAACTACAATACTTGGTGTAACTATTAATGTATTTAAACTAGTTCACCATAAGTTTCAGTCTCTGTAAACGAGATAAATCGTATCATTTGGTTCTTTAAATCACTTGATTATATACATGTCTGTTTTCGACATAGAACTTTGCACAGATGTGTGGCAGCTCAAGTCACCACACTCCCTCTTCTTGTAGCACACAAAGCAACAGAAGAAAGTAGAAGAAATGCATAATAGAGACAGTAGACCGGGAATAGTAATAACGAAGAATAATATAGTTTCATTGGAAATCAAGAGGCACAAGGAGAGGATGCATCTGTGTTAGCCAGATCATCAATTGTTTCCAGCCCTCATTGGTTTTTACCATCCCGAGAACCCCAACCAGACAGAAATCTACACCTTAATTCGTGGCTTAGACTAACTGTTGTAGATTTCATTGACTGATGAAATTATCTTTTGGTTTGACCACCACTGCCTCTTTTCCAACCTGATCCATCTTATGTCAACTAACATTGCCCATCGATGAATGCGATCGGTGACTAGGCATGCGTAACACATGTCCTAACTATCTCAATCGCTGTAAATTCACACTCTCGTCTATTGATTTCCCTCCTTACGTAGTACTCGACCGACGCTTAACCTCAATATTGCACACCCTATTGTACCACTTCACACGAGACATAGAACGCAGGCACAAATGATCAAAACACCTAGTCAGTCATGTCTTCCACTCTCAATGGCCAGGTCTCACAGCTAACCATATATGAGAACGGAGTGGACTTCTGAACAGTACACTCGCCCTTTGGTCGACAGTCAGCTGGATATCACGTCTACTAAGCTAGAGACGGTGTAAACTGGTATATGCAAAACTAGACCTCTGTATCCGTGGTGAGATTTCATCAGAGATCAACCCGTTGGCACTGGCTGATGGTACTTCCCAAATAAGTGAAGCGGTCAACGTGCTCCACTAACCCCTTCACTTCCTACTTTTAAACTAGGAGTCAGTGTAGTCCAGTTCTGTAACATTATCTTACATTTGGCGGGGGCGAATGGCATGCCAAACATTCGGAGATTGCAGCTCAACTCAAGGTGTTCAGAGGACGCCATCTGCATTTTGTCAGGGTCCTCGCCTAGAAGGACTATATCGTCTGCATATTCTAAGTCAACGAGATTATTCCCTGGGATTATATGCATAAAAGTCGAATATCTGTGAACAACCGTTCCTTGCTTTCTCTTCACATCTGTTTTTTCCATGGAAACATGTTCTAAATATTATTCCTGATATTTTATCTCACTCACCTGTATGAAATCCCAAGAACGCTTAAGCAGTGGCAATAATTTGTCCTCGAAACGTGGTCATCAGTTAATCTTACTGTATAACAACACAGTGTGATTTATCAAAATAAAATCTCATCCATAATGGAGTTATGCTCTACCATCACAGTGCCCAAGTTTTATACTTAAATCAGAAATGATTATTTGATAAGAAGAGTACAGAAAAAGCCCAGAACTTCAATCTATACACCGTGTGTGTGTGTGTGTGTTACTGCTTAAGCGTTCATAGGATTTCATACAGGTGAGAGAGATAAAATATCAGGAAAATCCGGATCTTATTTTTCATGCTGAGTGCTGTTGACCGCCACACAGACTTGAGAGTAATGAAAGCTTGTCTTGCTTTTCCGATCTCTGCTTTGATATCCTTATCTGTTCTGTCCGTCTGTAGTTGGAACGCTGCTTCCCAGATAGGTGAGTAGGTAAAGGAGGTTGTTTCTTTCAGGTTCCTCCCATTTATACTGGCTGGTTGTTGTCTGTTGTTGTTGCTGCTGCTGTTGGCTAGGAATCTTCATCACCTCTGTTTTCTCTGTGTTCATCTGAAGTCCTATCTTCTCTGGATGTTTCTTCTGCGAACTTGTTGCTTTTCACTTGCATATCTTCCAGTTTCTGGGAAATCAGACATATACCATCATTGGCAAAGTCCAGATCCTCCAAGTTTTTTGTGTGGTCCATTTTACGCTTGTTTAATCGCTACCCGTTGCCTGTCACATTATCCAATCTACTGCAGTCAGGAAAATCATTGACGATATTAGACAGCAAGCTTGTCTTACTCCCGTCCTCACTTCGAAGGCTTCCGTAAGTTTCCCGTTGTGGATTACTTGTCATGCAGAATTATCGTACAACTGTTGGATGAAATGTATAATTGTCGGTGGCGCCCCGTAGTAGCGAAGTAGTTGTCAAATCACCTCTCGATCGACGCTGTTTGCTGAAGGCCTTTTCAAAGTCGATGAAGTTGAGATAGAGAGGTGACTGCCATTCCAAGCTTTGTTCAATGAGGATCCGTAGTGTAGCGATTTGATCAATACATGACTTGTTTCTCCTGAGTCCAGCCTGTTCCGGTCGAAGTTTTTCATCCAGGGCTGCGTGTTTGATTCTGTCGATGATAATGCGGCTTAGTATTTTGCTTGGAATGGACAGGAGCATAATTCCGCGCCAGTTCCTGCACTGACTTAAGTCTCCTTTCTTTGGCAGTTTGAATAAGTATCCTTTCTCCCAATCCTCGGGTACTTTGCCTTCTTTCCACACCTTCTCCAGTAATTGCGTCATCAACTCCGCTGTTGTCTCTGGGTCCATTTTCAATGCTTCTACTGGGATTCCATCTGGTCCTGCTGCTTTTCGAGCCTTTAGCATCTTGATTACCTTCAGGACTTCTGTTCTCGTCAGGGGGTTGGTGTTCACTGGTAGATCACTGCTCCCGTTGTTGGTATTGTTGGCCGCATTGTACTTGGAGGTCGATTTAGAAGTCTTTCAACTTGGAGTGTATAATTTGCTAATGAATAAAATTAACACTCTGAATACAATTCTGTTAGCGACACATACACACACACACATTATAGTTCACTTGAACAGTCGGACTAATTAACTGGTGATCTTATTGATTAGTAATTGTCACGTCTAAATCTAGTGACAAAATCAGAAAAATTCTTTGCATTTACCATCTCGAGGTATCTAATCACAACGCTTAACTACTAATTATAGACTAAATGTGATGAATGAGAAGCATGCATCTTTGTTCCTTTTTAGTACTTTAATGGCATAAACAGAAAAAACAAACAAACAATAAAACAAAACAAAAGCCATCCAACGGATGATTTAACTAGTAGGTTAGAGAGACAGTACACATATTTCGTACCCTGTATTATTATTATTATTATTAAAACAAAAAATACCAAATGAAAAAAAGTATGCATGAAAAATAATTGAGCTGAAAACAACTGTGCATATTTATTAATTTGGTTATATTACATCATGAAGACTGAATATAGTGCCTACCTGATAAAAGTATGGCTTTACAATTCGATTATAACTAGCGAGCTCGTATACCATTGCGCCACTGGGACCCGATCCAATGGCCAGTTTATGAATTCTAATTCTATCAATCCGTGATTAACCCGTAAAACATAACTCTTCTTTAACAATCGCTGGTGATAACTCATCACTTTTGTTACTACCACCCTCTTATATCAACATCCAATTCATCTGTACTTACTAATTGTACTACAAACCAACACTTAAATATCAATGAGATGCTCACTAGCGACTTGCCCTATTCAGGTAGGTAGTCACCTGGGCTGGTTCTAGTGAGAAGTTGTGACCAGTAGGGTGCAGCAGGTCGGGTGTGAGGACAAATACTCACCGAAGACATTGATTGGCTAGGGGTCGCGCTGTGTTATGAATTGGCAGAAGTTAGAATTCATGAACTGGCCATTGGATCGGGTCTCAGTGGCGCAATGGTATACGAGCTCGCTAGCCTTGTAAGCAAAAGCTCTTGGGTTCGAACCTTGCAGGTGGGTGCGTACTCATGAAGAGTCCCGAACTAAGACGGAACAGCTGTCCAGTACTCCCAGCTGGTTTTCTAATGGTTCTCTAACCAATGTCAGCTCATGATGAAATCCTGTAACCAATCAACCAAATCTCTACAAGCCAACACTTAAATAACTCTAATTTCGTTTGATGAATTTAATGTACACACAGAAATACATACAAAACAACCATATATATAATCGCGATTGTACAGCTATGAGAAAATGAAATCGCCGGCGAAAAGAGACTCTACGCTGAACTACTGGTCTTCTGTCTATTAAATTCGATTATAGTTTTATGATTTACTTAAAACAAAAAATGAAATCCAGATTTTGAATTTTGTAGGCGATTATATTGACATGATATATATTCACATAGTGATGGAAGGAAGTGGAGTAGCACTTCAACCCATCCTTTTTTATCACTTTCGGACATGGCAGTTGAAAGACCTGTAAAGGCTGTGTTTTTTTACCACAGATATTCGTGTTCTACCTTGCATGCTAAGTGGTTAGTGTGGCATTATAAACAATATTGAGGTTAGGTGTAGAGTGTAAGGCAGGGAGGGTAAGTCAGTCGATGAGGTTGTGATATCCGGCTATCGAACAAAGGGCGGGTGTACTGCTCATCAGCCCGCTCCGTCCTCTTTATGACTGTGAGTGATACCTGGTCATTGAGAGGGCAAGACGTGAAAAGATTAGCTGTCTTTGATCATACGTGCCTGCGTTCTATCTCCCGTGTTAGGTGGTATAATAAGGTGAGCAATATTGAGCTTAGGCGTCAGTCGACCACTAGGTAAGGAGAAGAAATCAATAAACGAGGCTGTGAAGCTATATCGACTGCGACGGTAAAGACATGTGTTACACATGCCTAGCCTTTGGGCCTTCGCCTTCCTAGACAATGTTAGCTGACATACGGTCAGGCTGGAAAAGAGCTAGCGGAGGTCAAACCAAAACGTGGCGTCATCAGTCAATGAAATCCACAACAGTTAGCTTAAGCCAGCCAGCCACGTAGGAAGGTGTAGACTTCTTGGCTGGTTGGGGTCCTCGGGACGGTCAAAACCAATGGTTGGAAAGAATTGGTGATATAGCTCAAAGTGATCGTTCTCAATGGCTATCGCAGATGCATCCACTCCTTGTGACCTATGATTTCCAGTGAAACTATATTGTTATTCGTTAGTACTATTCCTGTTGTCTATCACCTCTGTTTACTGTCTCTATTATGCATTTCTTCTACTTTCTTCTGTTACTTTGTGTGTTACAAGGAGGGAGTGTGGCTCCTTGAACTGGTGCACATCTGTGCAAAGTTCTATGTCGAAGACAGACAGAGGTTGTGAAACTGCATCGGTCAAGATGACTAGGACACGTCTTACACACACGCATGACAAGTAATCGCCTTTTTCAAGAAGTAATGTTAGGTGTGACATAGGGTTAGATAGGAGAAGTTAGGGTTGATGAAATTGAAGCCTCGCATCAATCCAATGAAGACTTTAACTGTATGGAGGTGAAAGTTGTCTGCTCAGGGTCTTCAGGATGCTGAGGGATCAATCGCTTGAGATTGTTGGTTATATAGCTCCACATCGTTTTCAATGACACAGGTGCACATTCGCTCTTTATAATCTTTTAGATGCTTTTAGTTCTCATGGTTTTTCATGTTCCCATTATTTCTCTTGCACACTTTTTTCCCACCATTTCTCTACTTCTGTAAGTCATATATAGAGTGTGGCAACTTGAACTGCTGCACTTGACTCATTTCAATGTACAATTCATCATGAAACAACACTGAAAATCAAAACAAAAATGCTAGATAACTTTTTCTCCCTCCTAGTTTTGAACCTTATAGCAGTGAGCACAGTGATGACCTCACTAGAATATCAATCTCGAACTAGTCAGCACCCACTGGTTAGATGTCTTGAAGTTCTAACTATATAAGAAATCATTACCATTGAGGTCCCACATGCCAAGGTGTTAAGCGGATGCTCATCAATGGGGGCGGAGGGGGGTATTGGTTTGCTACAGCGTTTTTATTGTGAATTGACAAATGTTAGAATTCACGCGTCATTATATGATCAACTGACCAATCTTGTAACCTAAAGGTCCTGGGAGATTTTTTATCCCTGGTGAGGTCATGGATACACACAGCAAACAGCTGCCCCCCCCCACCATGTCTCTTAGTTCTCAATGCTTATCCAGCAGATGTTAGTTTGTGACAAAAGCTATATTGAGATGAACAAGTGAATAATAGATTCAGAGAAACTGCAAAATGTTCATATCATTTTCTTACGAGTTGATCACGGATTGATATTAGTTAGAGAACCATTGAAAACCAGGGAGTACTGGACATAACCAACCCTTACAAAAAAAAACTATAGAAAATTAATCTGATGGCTCGCTAGTGACTTGCTACAGGATGGAGTTTCCTGAAGTTCCAGTGAGGAGTCGTGACAAGTGAGGTCCATCCAGTCACTTGTGAGGATGGATGTCCCACCAACGACAATGGTTGATGTCTCGCTAAATTACGAATTGATAGAAGTTAGAATTCATGGACTGGACATTGAATCGGGCCTCAGTGGCTGAATGGTAAATGAGCCAACTTGCCTCGTAACCGGAAGGTCCCGGGTTCGAACTTTGGTGGTGGGTGCATACTTCCGATGATTCTCAAACTAGGATGAAACAGCAGCTGGCTGTCCAGTACTCCCTGGTTTTCCATGGTTGTCTAACTGATAGCAATCCGTGACCAACTCGTAAAAACATGACTAACCCTTACAAACTAAACTATAGAAAAGTTCATATCACATTGTTATGCAAAGAAGATCGAAACATTTCCTCATCTGAGGAGAACAAACAAACATTTATTCCATACATTCCACTTATTTTTGCCCGATGTATTTCAAAAACAAGAATATTATATTCTAAGAGATTACCAGATAATTGAATCGCATATAATCCAATTGAGGATTTGTTTGTAGATTGCTGTCATCTCCAGTTTGTTGTACAGTATTTATATTTCCGCATAATTTTGCAAGATTTCTCAACGACGCACAAACAACACGTAATGACATATGACAAGATGACTGACACTCCGATGAACGAGAACTGTAAACAAAATTTTTTTTAAAAGACAGAAGTATGCAAATAATAATAATGATACTAATACTACTAATAATAAAAAATATCTTGATTAATAATTAACTGATGTACTTTTACTTACTCTAGATTGTTCAATTACACTCAGAGATGTAGTGGTTAGCGAGGAAAGCAGTGTCCTCTTGTTATCTGTGTTTGTATGGACGGCAGGACGCAAACGAGATACAAGTGAAGATCAATTATACAATCGACTGTGTAACACCTTTGTCACTAAGTTCTACGGGAATTAAAATCAGTAGTCTGAGATGCATTGGTTATGCGTCTAGTCACCACCCCTCCCCATAAATAATCTGTGTGTTTCTGTCAACGATCAGTATGGATCTTTGAAATTTTATATTACAGTAGGGTCCGTATAATGCCTACTTATATATCTTGAAAGCTTTATACAGACTCACCTCTTGTAGAGTAAGGGCATACAATACAATCTTAAGATATACACAGAAAAGAGACCTGGAGGGTGGTTTATCTGAAATTCAAAAGCTTCCCTCCCATAAGTTACAAAAAAGGATTGGTGAGAGCATTATTTGATTGTGTAAGGAAACTGTGTTCAAAAGAAAAGATTGAGGAAGAGCTATCCATTGTGGAGAGATGCCTATGGGACAACGGTCTGTCTCTGTCTGGATTCAACATAGAACTTGGCACCGAAGTGCAGCAGTTCGAGTTGCCACGTTCCAATTGGCACACAAGGTAGACAAGAAGATGAGTGAAGAGAATCAATAGAGTTTGACAAATATAAGAGTGAAACAGAGTGGGTAATTGTAGAAAGGAATATGAAAGATTACAGAGACTGAATACATCTGCGCTGGCCATTGACAACGATTTTGAGCCATGTCACCTATTGTCTCCAGCCATTGATTCCTAGAGTTCCGAGGGCCCCAACCCGGAAGTCTGCATCTCCCTACCTGACTCAGTTTAACTGTCAAGGATTTCATGGATTGATGAGGCCATGTTTTTGTTTGGCCACCACTGGCTCTTTTCCAACCTGCACCTATATCAGCTAGCAAAGCCCGTCGGGGGAGGCGGTGGTTAGGCATGCGCAGCACGTGACCGACCTAGCCATCTCAATCTATGTAACTTTATAGCCTCGTCGATTGATTTTCCCTCTTTGCCCAACACTCTACGCCTAACGTCAACATTACTTACCTTATTAAACCACCTAACGTGAGACAGAGATCCCAGACATCTATGATCGAAAGCAGTCAACCTTTTCATGTCTTCAACTCGTATTGGCCATGTTTCAGAGCCATAGACAAGGACGGAGCGAACTGATGAGCAGTACACACGTTCCTTGGTTGATAACCGGATGTCACGCTTACGCCAGAGATGGTGTAAGTCAGCGAAAGCAGCTCGAGCTTTTCGGATCCGTGCTGAGATTTTATCGCCAATCAGTCCGTTGGTGCTAATACAACTTCCCAAATAGGTGAAGTGGTCAACATGTTCTATCACTTCACTCCCTATCACTAAGTTAGGGATTGACGTGGTCCAGTCCTGTAGCAGCATCTTACATTTTGCAGGGGCGAATCGCATGCCAAACATACGAAGATTGCTGCTCAAGGTGTTCAGAAGACTCTGCATTTTGTCATCATCCTCCCCTAACAGGACTATGTCATCTGCATATTCTAAGTCCATTAGATTATTCCCTGGTAACAAGTCGATTCCTAAGTCACTACGTTCAGTTAAGGATACTTCCATTAGCATTTCTGTGATGAAGTTAAACAGAAATGGGGACAACGGTTACCCACAAAAGTTCATCGACAAGTATGGGAGACGTCATGTTGAAAAAGTGAAAAGCAGCACAGTAGATAAAAAGCTTATCTTTCTGCAGCTTGCATTCAAAGGTGATAATACTGCTAGTAGAATAAGATGCAGACTGAACGCTGCCTCCAAAAGAACATATCCAGCCGCCAAGCTTGTATGTGTGTTTATCAAACAACTAGTTGCTTGAGACAATCAAAAGTGGACATATACCCACCTCATGTTACCTCCAACTGTGTCTACCGATTTACATGTACGTACCAAAACACATACAGTGGAAGAACAGGGAGAAGGGTTATTTTCCACATTTATCAACACATACCAAAGAACCTGAGACTGGAAGGTCCGCAAGCATTAAACAGTGCGATTGCTCGTCATCTGTTGAACACTAGTCATATTGTAGACAACCTGAAGTCGTTCAAAATAGTCAACAAGCAAAAGAAACCTAGGTTGCTACGCTTTGCTGAAGCAATTGCTATCAAACGACTTAAACCAAATCTATGTACGCAGAAAGAGACAGTGGTGAATCTTGCACTACCCTGGTGATAAAAAAAATATACAACTTTTATGAGTTACCCTTTTTCTTGTTTAGAAAACTCTACTCTCTCATCTAAATATGACTCACCCTACCTTGTTTCTTTTCTTTCCTTTTTCTATTGGCTATTAGATAAGACATTTTCTTTAGTTACGTAATCTACTTTTCTGTTGTGCTCTTTCTAGCTAAACCTTGTTTCTATACACACATATATATACGCAACCCTATTTTTTGTTTCTTAGCTTAATCGTCTAATTATTCCATAAATAGTCAGTGTTTGTATCTCCTAATCAGTTAAATCATTCCGGACTAATGTTACTTTTACTTCCTTCCAATTACTCCTTGTGATCGTGGAAAAGTATGTTTAAATCTTTAATGCAATTAATATTTTTTATCGTTCAGGTGGTAACCGAAATAATAAAAAAAATGAGCTCATATTATCCTAGTACAATTGTTGTTCTTGCTTTGTTCATGCATACAATTCTGTTGAAAACTAACAACACAATTTGACATGTTACCCTATGTGTGAAGGTTTGATGAACTAAGCAATGAGTTACATCGACTGTGTGAATGATACCAAAATCAAATAAGTCACTGCCAAAACTTAGGGGTAAGTGAAGTGAACAAGATCACAGGCTAAAACTGTTCAATACCCAGCTATATTATTATTGATTACCATTCCCTTGGGTACTGCTGAGTGGAGCATAAACATTCAGCAACACATCTTCACAAGTACTCACAAGCCTTCATTTTATCTGCACATGATCTCCTCTATGTCACTCCCAGACCTACACTAAACTCACCACTACATCCCATTTGGATTCCGTTCAAGGGCCTGGTGTGTGACGAAACTCAACAATCTCCTCCTCCTCAGTGTATGTCCAATTAGTCTTCATTTACTTTTGCAAAAGTTGTTAGATAAAACAGGTTGTTGGCTGGTTTTTATTGCTTATTCTCCTCAGTCGGTCATATGATCACAAGCTTTCGGTGAAGGTATCGAATGATGAAAATCTGTAGTCTGTTGGAAATACTTTTGGTTACCCATCAAGCTGCTCAGCTTCAACGAAGCATTGACTTTAAATTAGTGTTATATAGCATTTGAATTCTCTCTATCTCAACTTCATCGACTTTGAAAAGGCCTTCAGCAAACAACGTCGACCGAGAGGTGATTTGATAACTACTTCGCTACTACGGGGTTCCACCGACAATTACACATCTCATCCAACAGTTGTACGACAATTCTGCATGCCAAGTAATCCACAACGGGAAACTTACGGAAGCCTTCGAAGTGAGGACGGGAGTAAGACAAGCTTGCTGTCTAATATCGTCAATGATTTTCCTGACTGCAGTAGATTGGATAATGTGACAGGCAACGGGTAGCGATTAAACAAGCGTAAAATGGACCACACAAAAAACTTGGAGGATCTGGACTTTGCCAATGATGGTATATGTCTGATTTCCCAGAAACTGGAAGATATGCAAGTGAAAAGCAACAAGTTCGCAGAAGAAACATCCAGAGAAGATAGGACTTCAGATGAACACAGAGAAAACAGAGGTGATGAAGATTCCTAGCCAACAGCAGCAGCAGCAACAACAGACAACAACCAGCCAGTATAAATGGGAGGAACCTGAAAGAAACAACCTCCTTTACCTACTCACCTATCTGGGAAGCAGCGTTCCAACTACAGACGGACAGAACAGATAAGGATATCAAAGCAGAGATCGAAAAAGCAAGACAAGCTTTTATTACTCTCAAGTCTGTGTGGCGGTCAACAGCACTCAGCATCAAAAATAAAATCCAAATTTTCAACTCCAATGTGAAGTCAGTCAGTGCAACTATACGGATCAGAAACTCGGCGCGTCATAAATAGCACCTCAAACAAACTACACACCTTCATCAACAGCTGCCTTCACTCAATACTCAAGATCAGATGGCCAGAAAAGATCAGCAACAGGGATCTCTGGCAATCAGCGAACCAACTAGGAACCGATTGTGCAACAAATAAGCAGGAAGAAATGAAAGTGAATTGGATTGGCCATAGTCTGAGGACACCATCAAGTGACATCACTAGACAAGCCATTGCTCGAGTGGAACCCGAAAGGGAAGCGGCGAGTTGGTCGTCAGTGCAAGGGTGACTTAGAAGAGGTCATGTGAAGAGTAGATGAAAGCGTGTGGGCAGACTTGGAGCGGGGTGAAAAAGTTTGCAGAAAACCAAACGCAATGGAGACGCGCGGCTGAAGCCCTACGATCCTCTAGGAATTAAAGGAAATAATAATAATAATAAATAGCATTCGGATGGAGGTCCTTATGCTGTAGATCTGCAAACTGCCTTCTGAATAGGGACAGTCTGTCTTGCTTTTCCGATTTCACCCTATGGTCTCCTTATTCCAGTCGCCTGCCTGTAGTTGAAACGATGTCCTGTCTTCAGGTGGGTGAGAGACAGATTCTCCTTTAGACTTCTTGTGCTGAGAGTGATTGGTGCTTGTTGTTGTCGTCGGTTGTTGGTGGTCACGTTCATTACCTCTGCTTTCCTCTATGCTAACTTAAAGTTCTGTCTCAGTTGTCTTTGCTGACAATTTGTTGTCTTTTGCCTGTATATCTTTGAGATTATGTGACATTAGACATAGATGATCCACGAAGTCCAGATTTTCTGGAGTCTTTTTTATTGATCCAACGTATGCTTGTCTACTCAACCACACACCCACCCCCACCGTCTGTGGCATGATCGAGTTCACCATAACCAGAAATATATATATATATATATATATATATATATATATATATATATATTATTAAGCTGAATAAGCCATAACACCAAAAGAAACACTATACACGTTAATCAATCAACTGACTTACGTATGAATCACTGATAAAACTTTAACTAGATCGCCAAGATACGAACATTTCAATAGTGATTGAGGTACATAATAATGCTTGGATTCTCCATTCATACATCTGTTACCATTACTTTCATCACAGAATGATTGAAGAGGCAATTCAATTTGATCACATCTATACTGCCAGAGAATAGTTAACATTTGAGCCCACCAATGAGCACATGAGACTTGATCATCAGTTTCTTCTACGAATGATGTGAGATTGAAAAAAAAGCCAAGAAAATAAAATCCCACATTAGTACGATTATTTACAAATATGACAAGAATGTATCAACAATATGAAGTCATATTGAAGTCTAACGCTGAAGGTGTTGTCTAGAAAGGCAAAGAAAGGCCTCTTAGTAACTGAGTTTCAACATAGAACTTTGTACAGAAATGAAGAAGTCCAACTGGCTGAACTCCATGTATAGTAGTACAAAAGGTAGAAAATAGAAAAAAAAGAAAATAACAACGCACCTACAGCGATGAGAACGATTTTCGGCCATATCATCAACCATAGTCTCCAACCACCGGTTCTTAGGCATCCTGAGATTCTCAATCAAGTAGTCTACATACCCCCCCTATATGGCTCAAACCAGCAGTTAAGGACCTCATATTGTGGAAAACACCCAAATGGCGGACATTAGAAAAAAGATAACACGAAGTTCAGCAAAGATGGCGATCTTTTCGGCGATTTCATTTTCAAAAGCAGCTGTACAATCGCACTTAAAAACATAATTTTACATGGATACAATTCCATGTTTGATTCCACATAATTACGACGGCGAATAAAAGGTCAAAATTATTTTCAACTAGATATGGTTTTTTACGAGAGGCTTAGAAACAAAATTACACAGGATTAGAACGGATAACAAGTGTGTACAAATGAGCATGGAAACAAAAGTGAAGTAATAATTTTCAACTTGAGATGGGAGTTGGGAGGTGCGAATATAGATTACAAAAGCCTTAGAAACGCGCGTCCTTTCAAAACGTGTTAGGCAACATTACCCGGCGTGGCTGAAAAGTGGAAGCACCGGTTCAATCAGAAGTGCCATTATTGAACATCTGATCAACACATCCCATAACATCTCAACTGATTCATTCTTTCGAAGTAATTTACAAAGGCAACAGAAACCTACCAAAAGCAGTATGTTTCCGACTTCTCTGTACTGCAGAAACCCTCACAATATGTATGCATCGAGAAGCCGCAACTGTGTGTTCAAGAGAAATTAGTTCAACCTCTACAACTACCATGGACCTACTTCGGTATGTTCTCTTAGTTTCCGCTTGTTTTTCTCTTTCCTTTTGATCTTTTTTCGTTCGCTGTGTGTCTGATCCTTACTTCCTCAGTCTTCATTCAATTCACCCTATCTTTTCAGTTATAAAAACAGTTATTTTAAGTTTGTTTCCATACTGTTCCTGTTCACACTTATAATTCGTTTAAAATAACTATTTTACAATAATATATTTATCCTGTGCAATTTTTGTGTTTCTAAGGCTCTTGTAATCTATATTCGCACCTCCCAACTCCCATCTCAAGTTGAAAATTATTACTTCACTTTTGTTTCCATGCTCATTTGTACACACTTGTTATCCGTTCTAATCCTGTGTAATTTTGTTTCTAAGCCTCTCGTAAAAACCATATCTAGTTGAAAATAATTATGACCTTTTATTCGCCGTCGTAATTATGTGGAATCAAACATGCAATTGTATCCATGTAAAATTATGTATTTAAGTGCGATTGTACAGCTGCTTTTGAAAATGAAATCGCCGAAAAGATCGCCATCTTTGCTGAACTTCGTGTTCTCTTCTTCCTAAAGACCTCATACACTGATGACCACCTCTCCCTAGCTATTTTACAACCTAACACACTATGTCAACCAGCTAACACTGTAGGACGATGAGTAGTGAGGTGGTAGCGAAAACTTCAGAACAAACCGCGCAACTCAAACAACACAAAACAATCACATCAAAATCATCCTCACTTCATCTACAAATCTCGCCTATCATTTCAAAAAAAAGTTGTAGATGTAGAATAATGAAAGGGTCTTACAGACACTGAATCAATTAAATAAACAATTAGTGACTCAACACAATCAAGTATTTTGACACAGAATATTAAAAGTAAATAAGTATAAATATAGAAATACAAACTAACATATATATGAACTGATTATTGGGTAAGAAAACTTATCGACCAACTAACTAACTAACTCTGTGTGTGCAATGTGTTTACACAGTAGCAATAGTAATAGTAACACTAGCGAATTTCATAATGTGGTGTATGTGTATGTATGTTAAATGTTAAGGTTAAATCGGTAGGAAATTCTGGCCTATTTAATTTACACTTGTTGTACTTTATTTTGTTATTTTGAAGGAGAAAGGTGTCTTGAAAACCTCGAAAAATTCAACAGTATAAAAATATACACTTCACAGGTGACTGAATGACTAAGTAGGTGTAGAATATTACAGGTTTACAGTAAATTTTAGGTCTTCATATATAGTTTAATTTGTGGATGGTGATCAGCAGTGGAATCCACCGGGATAACGCGCATTTCGCCATATTTGGGACTCATCATCTGGATGTACCTGCATTTACCAGTGAGTGATGATGTTCCCACCGAGACTCGAACTCCGTGCCCATAGGTTCAAACGCCAAAGCGTTATCCACTAGACCACTTAGGCCACGAGAGCCACCACTTGTGCAAACGGGTCATATTAATTGAATTGAATTTGTTAGATAAAACAGGTTGTTAGCTGGTTTTATTGCTTATTCTCCCCCAGTCCGTCATATGATCACAAGTTTCGAGTGAAGGCATCTATTGATGAAAATCCGCCAAGCTTCCAAGCTTTAGAGAAGCATTGACTTTAAATTAATGTTACACAGCATTCACATTCAGTTCCTTATGCTGTAGATCTCCAAACTGGCTTCTGAATAGGGACAGCCTATCTTGCTTCCCCGGTTTCCCCTTTTGGTATCCTTATTCCAGTCGCCTGCCTGTAGTTGAAACTTCATACATACTGCTATAATAGAGTAGTTTTATTTGACCCACAAAAGTTTTCAAGCATACATGAAGTATGTAAAACTACGAATTACTTAAAACTCGACTAGCTGGAACAGGTGTCACATGCACTAGTTCAAGAGCTATACACACATACTATGTGTGAGAGCTGATGATTCTATTCAGTTGTGCAAGTTGAAATAGATGCAGATGGGTTTTAATCCTGGACCCGATGGCTACAAGCTGACGCCATTAGGCTAATGATTCAAATCTCCATACACAAGACATTCCATGATTATGTCTTGTTCAGACGTGCATGACGCCAACAACTGACATACGTGCACACACACACACACACACACTTTCTCTAACACTAACTCATTCATCCTAGTATTATAGATGAAACTTCAAATGACATTGGATTTCATGCATTGCTGTAATATTTTCACGCTAGACATTGAATTTGTTTAGAAATACTTCACTTTATATATTTTTTTATTACAGCTTGATTCCACACCGTATTTTTTTTTGTATAGGCATGGAATTTTCAGCATGTGATATCGTTAGCCCAAATTTTGCAGACCAACCGTAGATATCAGGTGTGCGTCGGTGGAGCCTCGACCCCCGGACCATGTGCATGGTCAGCGAGAGTCCTAACCACTGTGCCACCGACCCACGGTTCACGGCTTTCATTTGTCTGTAATAACCTTTTATTTTTAAGATTACTAATATTGTTATACCCTCAGGGTTCCGAGTGGAATACAGGTATTCAGCGGTACACCTCCATTCTAATCTACTATGTGCAGCTTTTTGTAGCTGGCTTTCATTTTCCCCATATACGATTTCGTCCAGCTCGTCGTTTCCCATTCGGATTCCACTCGACGGCCTGGTATATGATGTCCCTCAATGGTCTCCTCGATGCATGCCAAAATCCATCTTCGTATTCTTTTGCATGTTTGTTGGGTGATATGTTCCTTGTTGCTTATCCTCTCTCAAAGGCCAGCAAAGATAGCTGTTGATAAGACTCTTCAATAAGTTTGTTGGAAATGGTTTTGGTGATACGCACATTCCAGGTCTCTGAACCATACAGAAAATCTGAATCTCTTTCCTTATGCTGAGTGTAGTTCATATTTCCAAACTGATTTCTTAAGAGCAACGAAGATCTTTCTTACTTTTCACATCTTGGCTAGCTTTGACATCTTCCTTTGTGATATCTGTCTGTTCAAGTAAGTGAAAGAGACAAATTCTTCTTCAATTCCTCCTACTTATGGTGGTCATTGATGCTTGCTGTTGTTGTTGTTGTTGTTTTTCCGTTAAATATCTTCATCACCCTTTGCATTATGATCTAATTATTACCGAGAACTTATCCCGTAAAGAGATAGGTAGATAGGACAGATGACCTATTGTAGAGAAGTAGGTATGTAAGGGTAGGAGACAACAGACTTGATAAAAGAAATGTTTATTTGGAATTTCGTATCGCCTGATAACGAAATTATGTACACTTCATCGTCAAATCACCATTGACACAGATCGTCCGTGTTGTGCTGCTTCTGGCCTTCCTTTATATTGTGTTTCTTTGTCTTCCTTTTCACGTCTCCGTTGTTTTTCTGCAGAGCTAAATCATTTGCTTTCTACCTCCCTGATATTTGGTGTTTTTATGCCGCTGATTTATTTATTATTTCTCTTTTATTTCCTTGGCTTCGGATTAGAACATAGGGCTTCAACAACACATCTTTACTTGCTTCCGTTTTTTTTGCCGTCCTCTTCAGCTGGGTTCACGATTGACCAGACTCTTTCACCTCTTCCTTACACGATCTCCTCCATGTCACCCTCACACATCGATGACCCACTCGTCGCTTCCCACTTGGATTACACTCGAGTGATGCCATGCAATGAGCGTGATATCAGTCAACGACGGCCTCCTCAGTGTATGTGCTCGATCAGTCTCCATTTTCTCCTACATATTTGTTGAACGATCACCACTTGGTTCGTCTGCTCCCATAGTTCCTTTTAACTGATTCTTTATGGATATTTGATCTACAGTTGTTGAAGAAATTCTGCAACCTGTTGGAAATCCTTTTCGTTACACGTAGTACACATTTCTGACTAACATCACCTTTCTGTAGAAAATCTGAATCTTGTTCATTATGCTGAAGTGGAGTGCAGTAGAGGTTTCCAAACTGGTTTCAGGTTGATAAAGACACATATTTGGCCTTTCCGATTCCAACTTTCACATCTCCATCCGTCCTGCCAGCTGTGGTTGAAACAATGCTTCCTGTCTAGATAAGCGAAGGAGGTAACCTCTGTTGAACGTCTCCCCGTTGATGGTGATTGTTGCGGTTCGTTGGTTATCTTCATCACCTCCGCCTTTCACTATGTTCACTCACCTACAGTCCTGTCTTCGTTGCCAGCTTCTGAAGCCAGTTTGTTGGTTTTCGCCTGTAAGTTTACGACATCAAAAACACAAATCATCTACGCGCGAAATCCAGATCGTCCAGAGTATTTATATCCATCCAGCTTATTCCTATCTTCTCACTTCCCACAGTCTGGCACACAACCTATGAGTAGTATACGCCACAGGTTTATACACCCTTGTTCGCTTATAACACACACACACACACACACACAAATACTACAGTCTATGAAATATTTGTATACAAAACTTTTTAAAAACTCTAAATACAGAGAATTTCCATTCTTCTTGTATACACACTTGTACATAACAAAACTAAACGAAACAACACAAGTTATCACCAGATGTAGGATGTTTTTTCATCACATTCTATGTTTATTTTTTTTTTTATCTCTTACAGTTGAACTGAAGGTATTTTATACGTGTTGAACAAGAAGAACAATAAGAACTGTTTATAAAAAGTAGAAAATAACAACCCTCAGAAATAATAATAATAATAGTAATGAAGGTTACACGTGTTAATTAGACGGATGGAGATGGAGGTTGTACAGAACAGAGAGATAGACAAAGAGAGTAAATAACAACATATATTGAATAACCTACACATCAAAGGCCAACAATCAAAAGCATATTATAGTTATATACAAGCGGTGTACACTGAACACACAACACAAACCACACATACATACACGGATAAGACAATGATTATTATGAGACAGACTTATTATATAATACGTATATATATATATATATATATATATATATATATATATATATATATATATATATATTAACACTAACCGTATTCACTTTCGCCAACTGCATTAGTAAACTTCTTATCATAATAAGTATCCAATGAAGGTGAAAGCTCAGCCAGTAAATCAATATAACATTTTAAACTTTTCACTTGATTCAATTCACCATAGAGTATAATCTAATGAGTAAAGAAAAATAAAGTCAGAATAATAATCATTTAGAGTTTTATACAAAGTACAATCAAGCCATTGCAAAAAAAAAAAAGAAAAAAGGATTTCGCCTGCATCTTTTTCCAGTAACCACCACCGAAGCTTTAACAGCAAGTCCATAAGGGCATTTACATGTCTTCTTATGTTGAAAACTTATCCCTTGATTTAATTTCAAAATTGCTCATCTCTATGGGAGATATATAAATGATATTATTTTGATATGCGACGATCATGAAGATGCGAGTCGTCGTCTATTAGACAGACTCATTTCTGTACAGAATCATATTGCGCGAGGAAGAAAGTCGCAACCAGCCAGCATATTTTGGACATACTTCTGAGTTGCAGAGATGATGGTTCAATAAGACTATCTATCTAAATAAAGCTCCCTTGGACAGGGCAATCAATACCTTAATTTTCACAGTTTCTGTCCATTACATCATAAGAGAGGCACTTGGTGAAGTGTCTATTTATTTAAGAGGATTCACCGCATTTGCACGGCTGATGTTATAGACAAAGAAAACCAAAATTTTGATGGATACTCTTGTTGAAAAATGATATCCTTTATAATTTTTAAACAAGTGTAGAAGTCAATTAGTCTCTAAACCTACAATTTATACCGTCCCTAAGAAAAATATTTTCATCAAATTACCATATAACGGGGGAAATAAACAGTAGGACATTGAGACAAAGGTTGAATTCAATCATCCGTAGAACCTACTATGAAGCCCAGCTTCTAATTGTGGAAAAAGCTGAAAATATACTTAACTGCAAACCTAAAAAGTGCACAAGTCATTATGTCACATCCCACACAATTTACTGATTTTCGTGTGTGTGTGTGGTCACACATACATTATTATTATTATTATTATTGTATCCTTTAGTTCCTAGAGGAACATAGGGCTTCAGCTGCGCACCTCCATTGCCTTCGGTTTTCTGACAACTTTTTCATCCTGCTCCAGGTATGTCCACATGCTTTCATCTCCTCCTCGCATGACCTCCTCCAAGTCACCCTTGCACTGACGACCAACTCGCCGCCTCCCTTTCGGGTTCCACTCGAGCAATGGCTTGTCTAGTGATGTCACTTGGTGGTTTCCTCAGCGTATGGCCAATCCATCTCCATTTCTTTCTGCCTATTTGTTTCACAATCGGTTCCTGGTTGGTTCGCTCCCAGAGATCCCTGTTGCTGATCTTTTCTGGCCATCTGATCTTGAGTATTGAGCGAAGGCAGCTGTTGATGAAGGTGTGTAGTTTGTTTGAGGTGCTACTTATGACGCGCCGAGTTTCTGATCCGTATAGTACCACTGACTGACTTCACATTGGAGTTGAAAATTTGGATTTTATTTTTGATGCTGAGTGCTGTTGACCTCCACACAGATTTGAGAGTAATGAAATCTTGTCTTGCTTTTCCGATTCTGGCTTTGTATCCTCGTCAGTTCCGCCTGTAGTTGAGACGATGCTTCCCAGGTAGGTGAAGGAGGTTGTTTCTTTCAGGTTCTTCCCACTTATGCTGATTGTTGTCTGTTGTTGTTGTTGCTGTTGGCTAGGAATCTTCATCATCTCTGTTTTATCTATGTTCACGTGAAGTCCTATCTTTGATGCTTCTTCTGCCAACTTGTTACTTTTCACTTGCATATCTTCCAGTTTATGGGAAATCAGACATATATCATCGGCGAAATCCAGATCCTCCAAGTCTTTTGTGTCAGTCCATTTTATGCCTGTTCCCTCGTTAGTTGCCGTTGTCTGTCGCATTATCCAATCAATTGCAATCAGGAAGATCATTGGTGATAGTAGACAGCCAGCTTGCCTCACTCCCGTCCTCACTTCGAAGGCTTCCGTAAGTTTCCCGTTGTGGATTACTTGGCATGCAGAATTGTCGTATAACTGTTGGATGAAATGTATAATTGTTGATGGGACCCCGTAGTAGCGAAGTAGTTGTCAAATCACCTCTCGATCGACGTTGTTTGCTGAAGGCCTTTTCAAAGTCGATGAAGTTGAGATAGAGAGGTGACTGTCATTCCAAGCTTTGTTCAGTGATGATCCGTAGAGTGGCGATTTGATCAATACATGATTTGTTTCTCCTGAATCCGGCCTGTTCCGGACGAAGTTTTTCATCCAGGTTGGCTTGTTTGATTCTCTCCAGGATGATGCGACTTAGTATCTTGCTTGGAATGGACAGAAGCATAATTCCACGCCAGTTTTTACATTGACTTAAGTCTCCTTTCTTTGGAAGTTTGAATAAGTATCCGTTCTTCCAATCCTCGGGTACTTTGCCCTCTTTCCACACCTTCTCCAGCAGTGGTGTCATCAAGTCCGCTGTTGTCTCTGGGTCCATTTTCAAAGCTTATGCTGGGATTCCATCTGGTCCCGGTGTTTTCCCAGCTTTAAGCACACATACATAGGGAGGAGTAATCGCGCCTTGAATGTGAGGGTAGAAGAGAGCATATCCCAAAAAGGTTAGAAAAACAAATGAATTGTGACAAGCCAACTTAGTCTATAGCTAAACATCTAATCGAGATGAACCATAAGACTGATGTCAACTCAGCCTTTAAAGTCATCTATAAAAACGGTCAAGGGCGCTTATTGAAATACGCTGAGGCTATAGCTATTCATACACTTAAGCCCCCCTTGTGTATTCAAAAACAGTTTGTTATTGCTCTTAACCTACACCTTGGTAATCCTTATTTGATTGGATTACCAAACGTTGTGTTAATCATCCCTAAATCTTTTTTTTGTCAATTTGTTTAATTTAACTTATCCATATGTATATTGACTTGACAAGTAAATGTGTGAGGGATCAGATTGTTCGAAATGTATAGCGCAAATACATCACATTGTTTTTCAGATAAACTCCGTCTTCTAATAACGCTATCAAAATCCAAAAGGAGACAAAAAGCCTGGACTTTGTGTTTAGAAACGTTTTTTTACCTAGGCTTGATGATTTTAATACCATGATCTTAAATGTCAAATTTTGTCTTTCTGTATAATAACAAAATTTTGTAATCCACTTGCACACTTCTTTCCTATGAATAATTTTCAAATGATTAATCCCATGGTAAAATTTACAACAAACACATTCAAGCGAACAATATTGTTTTAATGATTAAATCTCATCAGGCTTAACTCTAATATACCTATATAACATTACAAATAAATATTTTAACTGCTTAAAAATGCCCATTAAAATTTTTCAAAAGAATGGATACTGAACAAAGAGTACCCTTTTCGATAACCCCTTCATCATCAGGCTCTACAGTTATATACCCATTATAGTGAATGAATGAATGAATTAGTGTTATGAACAACATTAATGTTGCTGTTTTAAATAACATCGAATCAATAATAATATTAATAGATTACAGCACAATAGCATCAACATAAAAATAACCTGAATGTCAGAAAAATTAGGAAAGATAATAGTACAAATTCATGAATTTACAGTCACTTTTGAAGGCCAGGGCAGTAGTAGGGGCTGGTTGGACTTGCTTCTTTTGAACAAAGGGCACTGGTTTATTTGAGGCGAGTTGCGACAGCCTGGCCTTCAGTAGAGACTATATATTCATGAATTTGTAATATTATCTATCCTAATTTTTCTGACATTCAGTTTATTGTGATGTTGATGCTATTGTGCTGTAATCTATTAATATTATTATTGATTCGATGTTATTTAAACAGCAACATTAATGTTGTTCATAACACTAATTCATTCATTCATTCATTCACTATAATGTGTATATATAACTGTAGAGCCTGATGATGAAAGGGTTATCGAAAACAGTACTCTTTGTTCAGTATCCATTCTTTTCAAAAATAAATATTTAAATATTAAACCAGTCACGGTGTTTTGTCAATAGAATAAATAAGATTGTGCATATAAATTGTGCAATGAGTCATAATAATAATAATAATAATCCTATATATAACAAGGATGTAAAAAGTAAGACGATCTGTGATAACAAGAATAACGAAAAGTAGCATGGCCTAAACAAACAAATATTTAGCTAGACGTAGTAGTCGATTAAGGCAAAGAAAAACAAATGAAACGATTAATTAATACTCGATTGTAAGGGAAGTAAATGAAATACGCTGTAATGAAGATGTGATAAGATTAAAGGACGATAAGAAAGCGGTTGAAAGTATAAGTAAGGGGTGATGTTAACTTCACCATTTGGTTAAGTCTTAATAGGTCAACAAGGGAGGGATAATGGCTGTACGAACTTCTCTCAAATGCCTATCGCCTCAGCTATGTACAGCACACGAATACGAAGTCTATTGCAGAACTATACTGTCACCTTTAACGGGCTTGCTCATAATTAAGGCTTCATCACTTCTAAGTTCCTTTACAGGTTCTCTAAGTTGCTTAGATAAAAAAAACTATTTACCGAATGTCTATTATTCTCGCATTGTTGGCAACTGTCAACTAGCATAGTTTTCAACTTAGTTAATTCATTGTCTGATGAGAGCGACAAAAACAATCCGTAGTTTTTTTTGGATTTTTTTTATTTACAGCTTGATTCCACATCGTATTCTTTTTTGGTACAAGTATGGAATTTTCACCATGGAGATCGGTAGCCCGAATTTTGCAGGCCAACCATAGATATCAGGTGTGCGTCGGCAGGGGATCGAACCTCGGACCATGTGGTTAGGACAGTGGTTCCACCATTTTGTCATATTTAGTTGATAGTGGTGGTCATGTAGTGGAGAAAACGAAAGCATTCAAGGTAATTCATTGCATACTGACAGAATTTTTTTATTTTTGACTACAGCTTGATTCCAAACTGTATTTTTGGTACAAGTATGGAATAGATATCGGTAGCATAGTGGTTAGGACTCTTGCTGACCATGCACATGGTCCAAGGTTCGATCCCCTGCCGACGCACACCTGATATCTATGGTCGGCCTACAAAGTTTGGGCTACCGATATCCATGCTGAAAATTCCATAATTGTACCAAAAATACAGTATGGTAAATCCAAAAAAGGGGATCGAATCTCGGACCATGTGAATGGTCAGCCAGAGTCCTAACCACTGTGCCACCGACAAATAAATTGTGTTCGAGACCTTGTCATCCAGCAAAAATAATACTGTTTCACTCACTGTGTAATGCAAATCTAATGAACAAATTAATATGGAATTCGCTTATAAATGTGTTGTTCTAAACTACTTAGTTGTCAACCACATCGCCTCGCGCGACAACGTAAGATATTGTCCACAATTTTTCAAGCATTACTTTTACTCACTATACACTTTAACTTATTTTTGTTACTAACTGACTGTGACAGTATCCTTGGCCTTTGTTGTTAATTAACCCCCCCCCCTCCTCTTCCATACACACACAGACGCCTAATTAACTGTACAGTTTCAAAGGTGAAGTCATGAGAATAGACGCCTTGCTGTTGACTTATGTTTTCTTAGTGATAATGATTTCATCATCCTATATTATTACTAATTTAAAAAAAGGAATATAAATGATACTTTTAGCAACAAAATGTGAATTTTTGTCCGTTTATTTTATTATTATTGTTATGATTAGTATACAACTTATTTACAGTTCACCTTTATAACTTTCATTTATATTTATCTGAACTTTTGTTGGTATATATCCATACATTAGTAAAAATCAAAACAATATCGGACGATTTTGATGGCGATGTTGTTGTTGTTTTTTTTAAAGTGAAGATGTTTACACACGCTGTAATTTTATTCATACGCTATTTTTTTCTTAATTTCAGTGAATATAATTCATGTGTATATCGGTTTCATAAAAAAGGCAACAGATATTGACTCATCGAATTTGATTCGACCGTTATTGTTCAATCACACAGTAGAGTTTGTAGCCATGAAAAATCTCTCATCGAACCCTACTTCTTAATTTGGGTAAATGGATAAGGATAATCAGGGCTTGTTTTTGACAATAAGTTTGGCTAATAAAACAAACTGGTGGTGGTATATGAAAAATCTGCTCTGATTAACTTAACCATATGTTATGCAAAGAGCAAAGGTTAACAATAGCGTCCCAGGAGTGCGAACGCACGAGTGACTTTCAGCTGACCAATCATAAAAAATGAGGAATGTTTGCTCAAAAAATTACGACGTATATCGACAAGAAAATGCTTGAAAATGCGTTAAACAGGTTATCCATCTCTGAAATGGCTTAAAAATACGTCTTGGTTGTAACGAGAAGTATCAGTTGCTATGTTAGACTAGTTTCTGTACATGTATTCACCGAGACGACTACAGATAAAGTGATTTTGTGAATCGTTTATCTCTCTCGTCCTGCTTGCAGTCTTCCAAAAAATCCCTCGGTTGAATTATTATGGTTTCCGGCAAGAGGACAGACTATTACTTACCAGGAAAACGTGGATAATAAAAAAATTAAAATAAACGACATCAACTATAAATCTATCCCTAATCGTAACCATAAGCTTAATCCTGATCCTAACCCTAACCCTTATTCAAACCGTAATTCAAACCCCAGTGCTAATTAAAACCCTGATTCTAACCCTAACCTCAATACTTACCTTAACTCTAATCCTAACCCTAACAAGCTATTAACACATTGTCCAAAAAGTACTTAAAAACGTGATCTGGGTGAAATTTGCTCTTAAGTTGGTGAATAGTGTTAATATTTTAGCTATGATAATAACAGGTGCAGTTAGCCAACGTTCAGTGTGCGTTCAAGGTTATTGGAGCGTTCACACTCCTGAGACGACGCTATTGTTGAACTTCGCCATGCAAAATTTTCATTAACATGTAGACTATAAAGACATATGAACTACCATGTTTATACAGATGCTAAAGGAAGGCTATGAGAAACACGACAAACTGTCATTCGTCTGAAATCACTGTGGAAATCTGCTGGCTGTACTCAGCACAAGCGCAACAAGACTTGGATTGCGAACACTAGTATCAAGTCAGTCAGTGCTTCTATATGGTTTAGATTACCCGAAAAGCATTTTCAACAGGCTGGCTACTGAAGACTTCCATTAACAATTGCCTTTACTGGCTCGATACTGAAGATCAGATGGCTTGTCACAGACGATTAGCAACAAGGAATCAACTAAAAAGCTATAATCCAAAAAGTAAGCAGAAAGAAATGGCAATAGACTCGATGCATATTGAGGAGACTGTTGAATGACATCACACACCATGCTAATGGGAAACGACGAAGTGCTCTTGCGGTCCGAGGGTGACATGGAGGAGACTGTGTGAGCAAGATTTATTATTTCCTTTAATTCCTAGAGGAGAATAGGGCTTCAGCCGGGCGTCTCCATTGCGTTCGGTTCTTTGCCAACATTTTCACCTGGCTCCAGGTCTGCCCACATGCTTCCATCTCCTCTCCACATGGCCTCTTCCAAGTCACCCTCGCACTGACAGCCGACTCGCCACTTCCCTTTCGGGTTCCACTCAAGCCATGGTCTGGTGATGTCACTTGATGGTTTCCCTAGAGTATGGCCAATCCACTTCCATTTCTTCCAGCCTATTTGTCGCACAATCAGTTCCTGGTTGGTTCGCTCCCATCTGATCTTGAGTATTGAGCGAAGATAGATGTTAATGAAGGTCTTTAGTTTGTTTATGATGCGCCAAGTCTCTGATCCTCACAGTAAGTAGAACTGACTTCACGTTGGAGTTGGAAATCCGGATCTTATTTTTCATGCTGAGTAGTGCTGTTGACCTCCACACAGACTTGAGAGTAATGAAAGCTTGACTTGATTTCCCGATCCTTGCTTTGATATTCTCATCAGTTGCGTCCGCCTGTAGTTGAAACGATACTTTCCATGTAGGTAGGCAGGTGAAGGAGGTTTTTTTTTCAGGTTCCTCCCATTTATACTGGCTGATTATTGTCTGTTGTTGTTGTTGGCCAGGAATCTTCATCACCTCTGTTTTCTCTATGTTCACCTGTAGTCCTTCCTATCGTTGATGCTTCTTCTGCCAACTTGTTGCTTTTCACTTGCATATCTTCCAGTTTGTTGAAAATCAGACATATATCATCGGCGAAGTCCAGATCCTCCAAGTTTTTTGTGTGAGTCCATTTTACGCCTGTTTCCTCGCTGCCCACTGTCTGTCACATTATCCAATCTATTGCAACCAGGAAAGCCATTGGTGATAGTAGACAACAAGCTTGTCTTACTCCCGTCTTCACTTCGAAGGATTCAGTAAGTCTTCCGTTGTGGATTATTTGGCATGCAGCATGACCAGATTCAATGGCCAGTCCATGTATTGTAACTTCTACAAATTCGGGATTTAGTGCGACCACCAACCTATGGCATCGGCGGGACATCCATCCTTATACTTGACTGGATGGACCTCACTTGTCACGACTTTTCACTAGAACTCCGGGAAACTCCATCCTATAGCAAGTCACTAAGAAGCGTCAGATGAATTTTCAAGAGTTGATTTGTAAGGATTAGATTTGTTTTTACGAGTTCGCCTACAGGATTGATTTGGGTTAGAGAACCATCGCCTGGTTAGAAACCAATAATAATAATAACGACTGCCTCATAATTATTTCACATAACTTTAATTCAAGGTTATTAAAAAGGTGATGGAAGCATTTTGGATTTTAATCAACATGTATCGCAAACACTGTGCACAGAAAACAATAGACTTCAACCTTTCCTTGTCATGGACTACTTGACCTATTAGGATTATAACTGGTTATTAGTGTGTACTTTTATTTTATATAACTGAGTAATTGTCATAATTTATTTTAGTGGTCGTAAAGTGATAATAAACAAACTGTGAAGTGGTACCATCTCGCGATATTTGTCTTCTTAAAGCGACCAACTGTTTTAGCATTTCGTATGGTTTTAACTATTCATAAAAGTCCCTGAATGACAGTATGAATCCAGACGTGGATTTAAACGGCTTTTAACCTACTGCTATGCGTTCTACGAAAGACATGAAGGGGATTAAACCACGCTTCACATCGAAAAAGACTGCGTGTTATACAGATATACAATCGAATTCTATTTTCAAAAGTTTTTTTTATAAAACCGCAGTAATGTTTTTTAATTGAAAACTTGTGCGTTCGCTAACCACCTGCACGGCCTAGGTTCCTCACTCCCAGTCGACGCCGTCTATTTAACCTTGCTTAGCCAGTAGTCATCCCGGTAAAGATGGAAGGTTAGGTGTAAGAAACAACAACAACACCATCACTACTGGGAACTGTACGGTTCCATGCGGAATCCGAAAAGCAATGGGGAAAAAAAGCAGACAACCCAAACAAAATTACTCACCTTCAAACAATGACAAGTGATATGCTCACGTAATTCAACCAACAATTGATTTATAATATTCTTCTCAGCATAATTTACTAATGATGTTCCAGTATCTATGTCCGATGAGTAATCACACATAGTACCATTTGATGGTGGTGACAAGGCAGCACTGAAATTCAAATTCCTTTCACCAGTGATTAGTTTAACGAATAATGGATTAGTAAACCAAGTTGTCCATAATTCGGATAAATTAAATTGTACAGTTACATAAATTGTCATGCGTATAATCAACGACTAAAAATGAAAGAAAAAAGTATGAACTATGATGAAGACCCCCATGCAATCAAACACAAAATCCCTACAAAACCAATACTTGAAAAGTAATATGATGCTCACTAGTGACTGGCCCCATTCAGGCAGTTAACCTGAGGTTCTAGTGGGAAGCCGTGACCAGTAGGGTACAGCAGGTTGAGGATGAGGCTGCAAATCATCGAGGAAGATATTGCGATTGCACTATGTCGTGAATTGGCAGGAGTTAGAATTCAAGGAGCATTGGGTCGGGTCCCAGTAGATTAATGGTCTACGAGCTAGCTCGCCTTGTAACCAGAAGGTCCTGGGTTCAAGCCGCGGTGGGTGCGTACTGCTGGATAGTCCCAAACTAGGCTGACGAAACAGCTGTCCAGTACTCCTTGAAGGTTTTCCAGTGGTTCTCTAACTCATGTCAGCTCATGATGAAATCCTCCATGCAATCAAAAATATATATACCTAGTGTAATAGATGTGGCTCTCTCATGGCTCAATGACCTAGTGGATTTGAAACGATAGACGCTTTGTTCAAGTGTCTCTCAATTGGGAACCATCATCAGTCACTACAAGGATAGAGGTATATCGAGTTAACAAGTTCAAAAAAGAAAACGGGACGAAATGTACGTCCTAGATTCCACTACTAGCCACCATTAAAACATCATATATTCATCTTGGAACAGTGGAAACCAAGTATAGAGAAAACCATCAATCTCGCATAAAAGTTGTTACCACTATTATATTCCGTTACTTGTAAATTTAAAAATAATTATGAGTGAAAGCCGCTTAAAATTGATTTGGTTCTGTAAGAGTAAAAAAATAACAATCAACAAACCGCCCCCCCCTCCACGCATGTCTGGATTCGGTAGGCGTTTTTATACTGTGCTATAGTTCCTCCTAGATACTCATTTCTCAGCACTTAAAGAGAAAATATGACACATTTTGATAGGATAAATGATCACGAAATGAGATACTACGTGCCTCCAGACATTCAGTAATCATGTGCAAACTACTATATATTCATATTCCTGTAGTGGAAGACGAAATGTATGTAGAATGTAAATGTGGATTGCGACAGGATTCAAACCATTGGCGTCAGAACCACCTGTCGGACAGTTTGTTATCTGAACCAGAAAAGAACCAGGTCACTACTTCACTGTAACATTAATGGGTAGTGCTGGTGACCGTGACTGATCAAGCTGAGCAGGTAGTGGGACACTTTTAGATACATGATACTTTACATATCACATCCGAATACCATAAAATTTTTTAATTAGTTGTATAACACTCAAGAAGATAAAAAATCATCAAGTGATTAGTTGACTACCTGACCTGACCTCATTTTCAAAGTCAACTATAGTTATCGTATGATTTAAAATGGTCAATAGCTGTAAAGTTTTGTTATATTTAACAACTTCCTATCACTAAAATGTCATGGATTGTCTACTTTAGAATCACCACATTCTTGTAACAGATGATGTGTCGAATTTCAGCAAAAATAAATAGATCTCTTTGATTGGATACTAGTAACTAGTGTGATGTGTCTAGTCCTTTCTTTGGTGCAGACTGAATTCTATCAGTCAGCTTTTGAAATGTGGCCACCATTCTAGGTAGCTGCTCGCCATCACGATGCACATTGATTTGATGATATTGGATCTCTTTATTAGCGCTCTTCACCTTCATACAAACGAGTTAATTAACTATATTTACTAAAACTTACTAAATATTCCGGCAAACTTTAACTTTAAGCACCACTAACTACCAATCAGCAAATGACTTCGAACGCACCAATCATGTGAAAGAGGCATTTTTGTGTATGGATTACACAAATATTTATGAGAAAAAGAAAATTCATAAAAACTGTAGCAAAAGTGTTACAGAGGATACCTTCCTCTCATATGTGATAAAAATAGCTCTCAGTTTTAGGTTGGAGTATCAACAGAGTGTAATTCCATTGTGGGTAAAATTTATTTTGATAAAGTTTCACAGTGTTATACAGTAATATTCATTGAGCAATAAACTGTGCTCGAAACGTGGTCATCAGTAAATATTACTGTATAAGAACACTGTGAGACGTTATCAAAATAAATGTTATCAGCAATGGAATTATACCACAGTGCACAGGTTCTATTCTTATATCAACAAAGTAACATAACCACATTCTACGCATGTAATTATTTAGGTCTTCTAAACCTAACAATGACACTTACCTTTCCTAAACCTAACCCTAACGTGAAAATATCCCTAAACTAAGTGTAATCTAACTCAAACCAACCTCAATGTCGCCTTTATTAGGTTAACCTAAACCTGACTCATCCTTGACGTAAGGAATAACTTAACCTTTCCCAAACCTAAGCTGAAACTTGTCAGATGTCCCATTTAATAGCATACCACTTCGATGAGTACATTTTATTGATCATGACAACATTATTTGCCAGGGTTGATTGGACCAAAGTGCTCGGTCTCAGGTTGACATGTTGGCTTCTTGTGCAGATGCTTCAATGATGTCTGGGCATTTGAATAGTATTTAGTTGGTGGATATAGACTAGAAGTGGAATGTAGGATGTGTATTTCGTCCTGTTTGGGACTCGTCAACTGAATGTAGCTGCATTTCTCAGTGAGTGATGTTCCCCCCGAGGCTCGAACCCAGTGCCCATAGTTTCAAACGCTAAAGCGTCAACCTGAGACCGAGCACTTCGGTCCAATCAGTCGACGGGAAAATCAAAAATTCAATTACATTAATATGACCCATTGCACAAGAGGTGGCTCTCACTGCCCAAGTGGTCTAGTAGATAATGCTTGCCGTTTGAAACTATGAGCACTGGGTTCAAGTCTCGGTGGGAATATCATCACTCACTGAGAAATGCAGGTACATCCAGCTGACGAGTCCCAAATAGGACGAAATGTGCATCCTGGATTCCACTGCTAGTCACCATCCACCAATTAAATTATTTGCCAGGTTTCAATAACTTGCTCAGTGAACATTACAAGGTCACTGGTGCGGTCGCACTCCATGTTAGTTACTGGTGCTTAAAATTTTAACTTGGCTAATATTCCCAGTCAACCACTTGCATTTTCTATTCAGTTAGCAATGAACCACACACACATATTGTGCTTACGATGGCTAGTGATACTATCACCTGGCTGCTCACAACCGTTTTATCTCTCCCTATCTATATCTCTCTATGTGGCTCCAACCAACAGTAACAGCTTGAAAGATAATTGATGGTAGTTTTCGGCTGGACCAATCTTAACTCTTCACCAACTAAATCATATGTCAATTAGTATTGCTCAACACGGAGGGTATGACGTGCAAAACCATTCCGAAATGACTGAAACCAACGGTTAGAAACTCCAAGGCTTAATTATGGCTTGTCAATTACTCTTTCTTGATGAGGAAAGTGATGATTTGGTGGCATTCATAAAACACTTATTATAATAATAACAGCTTTATTCCCAACAGTATTTGTGGTACAGGTATGGAATTTTCAGCGTGCATTACAATATATTACATCTAAATACCTCATACATTTTATAAGATTTTAAAATCAAAAAGCAACAACCAAAAAATAGGTAAATAAAAAGAACAGTGTTGCGTTTACATTTTAAACAATACACCACAGGATATGAAATATAAAATTAGTGTGTAATAGAAGATGCGAACAACAGTGTAATAGTAACGAGGAAAAGAAAACAAAAACTAGTGGGACTATCTGTTAGAGTGCCGCAGTAAGTTGATCGTGTCATACCTAACGGATTTCTCATCACATAACAGCTATGCCAGATATGGTATTGTGGAGTTTCTCTACTTGGTAGTCCTAGCATATAGCCAGCCTCCTATAGCTGCTTCTAGTTCTACCAGATGAAATGCAAGGAGACAGCTGCGTACAGAGAGGATGCTCGGGGTCCGACAATATTGTATTCGCTAGTTTCTTACATGACATTATATGTCTATCCACAATAGTGTTAACCAGTTAATAGTTAACGATATCCCACTTGCCCTACTAACGGCTTTTAGTGCCTGCCCTTCTGAGCAAAGCAAAGTCTTTCTTAAGTAGTCCAGGAAAGGTTAACGAGGAGCAGTAAAGAGGGATGGATAGAATACAACAATTCACAAACTGAGAAAGTAAAGACTGCTTTATACCAGACTGCCTAAATTTCCTAATGTAGAACGTTAAGCGAAACATCATTCTAGTAACTAGCAAGATGTGGGAGGACCAGGAAAGATCGGTGGAAAAACTCAACCCAAGGTACTATACATTATATGCATTTTCAACCTCTATACCGTCAATGATAGTGGGGCCATGTGAGCTAGCTAGTTGTTGTAGGTCACGTTTACTTCTAAAAGTGAAATGGCTTACAGAAATAAAAAACAACTATTTATTATTATTACCAGAAAACAAAATAAGATTGACAGCAAAGAATACTTTTCTCGAGACTTTATCTTATAAAGCAAGATAAAAAACAAAAACAAGAAGGTACTTACTCCGAGATAATGCAGTCCAAATTGTTGTCTTAAGAATAATCCCAGTGTTACACCATATCTGGGCAGAAGGTGTACAGACAGTTTATCATCATTATTTTCCTCTACTGACGTACTTTGAACATCATCCTCATTGACTTTATTATTATTATTATTATTATTACTATCACTAACCAATCCATGAATTGATGCCTCAAGGAAATCCCGGGTACACATTAATGCCAATGATAAGTTATCGAGTAATTTGCAGAAATTCACAAGTCCAGAGCAATCTGAATTCACCTTTTTCAGTTTACGAACTATAAACGAAATTTTTTTTTTATAAAGAAATTATAATTAATTAATAATTAAATTAATTAACAAGAGTGCATCTATATATTGTAGTCAGACAATATGAGCTGAATTTTTTTTTCATCTCAACTGCTTGCCAACTTAAAACAATACCAATCTTAAAATTTTTTAAATGGTGAGTGCCAGATATGCGTCTCGATGGAAATACCATCGTACTACTTAAGGGATATCAATACGATCCAATTGATGAGTCCTGAAAATAAAACGAAACGAAGGCTGGCCAGCCATAATCTCAACTCTCGCTTTATTCTTTTTGCTAACTTACAAAAAAAAGAGTTTTCGCTGTTACATGATGTTAAACCGATGTAGTATGATTTAATAGTTGAATGATATCTTATAGATAAGATTTTGATTTTGATGAGTCACACAGTGGTGTTATACAGTAATATTAACTGATGACCACGTTTCGAGCACAAACAATTGCTGCTCATAATCATATCAAGCACTACTCACACAACTTTTCCCCTTTTTCATTTATATACATGTGTGGAATCGATTAGATATTGGAATAAAACTCAATATAGGATAATGCATATTCAGAAATAATAATATGAATGTTATTGTTGATCAAATACAATCAGATGGGAAATACGATGAGTGTTTTTATAGTCATAATAAGCTACTTGTTAGAATGTTGTGATGTGGTTGAATTGAAATAGAATTTTATGATTATTTATTATCCTCCTCTCATTTGACTGACTTACTGGTGGTAATAATATCTTCCATATTTCTGGTATTTGCATTGAGTCATTTCTGTTGCATGTGTTGGGTGTAGACTCAATGAGCCAGCCAGGATTCAGTAATCAATCTCTCTCTCTCTCTATCTCCACCTACCTATATTACTTCTTAGAATCTTAACTCTCTCACACCCACCCTATTGTGTGGTTGTGTGTTGATACATGTAGAGCGATTGCTGAGCTTTTTTCTAAATTACTTATCTTCACGGGGTCAACCAATCTCACCTTAGCCAAATTCTTATGTTCCACCAATCTGATTACCCCCCTGGATCTACTAGTTTGGGATCCACCCGTGTCTTTTATCCTGCAGAGCTTATATCTGAGTGAGTTTGTAGGTTTGAATGCCACAGTAATTCCTGCTTTGTTAAGAATCTTACGTAGTGAGTGTCTCAGATGTCCCCTCCCTATATGGCATAACAGTAGATGACTTATATTCCTTCGTATTTATGTCATCATTATTAGTTTCACCATTGTTTTTATTTTGCTTTCGGCCTTTTTCGATCTTCTTAAGGATCTTCATGGGATAGTTATTCAACACCAACGCCTCTTCTATCTGTTTTATTTCATCATTTAGGTTTCTTTTGTGCTACTTAGAGCTACTGCTCGGTTTGTTAAACACTTACCTTAGTCCATACTTTCTGCTTTTCCCTTTTTCCAAGAATATTCGCTTAACTATTCTTGTATATATATATATATATAGTCAATCATTAAAACACGTAATACTTTCACTTAATTTAAATATTTTGTTGGCTTGTGTTAACCTATAGTTCCCACACAACTAACTGACTTTGTAATCTAAAGATCCTGGGATTTTTAATTCGTGATGGAGTCGTAGATGCGTACTGCCGAAGGTTCCGAAAAAAGCCAGGACAAAACACCTAGTGATTCCCGGTTTTCGATGATTCCGCCTCTAATAGATGTTGGTTTATGACAGAATCAATATTGGGATATTGTTAAACGTTGAATGGGACACCAGATTCAGTGGTATTTTGAAACGCATATTATGGTATCTAAACATAGTGTTCAAAATCTGATCTCTGATGATCTTTTTTTCACAATCGTCTTATTTTTGGCTACTCTTCATTTAACTGGTATTCAGTTTAACTGATTCCCATCACAATAGGGTATTACGTAATCTTATCGTTTGTTTTCTAGACCTTTATCTAATAAGTCCACCTGAACAGTTGTTTGTAAAACCAGGCCCATTTTCACCAGCCACTTCCCCTACCGTGGCTATCGTCACAAGAATGGATAAACAGGACTGTGTCACCCCCCTCCCCCTAAACCTATAAAATTATATCTGTCTAAATTATTTATTTTATTTATTTTGACCACTTTATCTTTAATTTACGAGTTATCCTTGTAAAATTAATTTATTCTATCCATTTCTACCTTTTAATTGTGTGTATTGATTTTCTTCGTTAACTATTAACCCATAGACACTGTTTAATTATTGTTAACAAACTTATCGCCACTTGATTGGCAAACTGTTGTATTGTAATTAAAATGCTACATATATTAGAGTAGAGCCAAAGATGAGGATCTAATCGAAAAGTAAATATTTCTTCGCTCAATCTTTCTGTTTTCTAAATGTCTAAATGGGGATTTTTTCATTCTTATTATCACATACTGCACCGTATACCTGTGTTGACCATTATTATTATTATTATTATTATTATTATTATTATTATTATTATTATCATTACTATCGTTATCCCTTTGAGTTCCGAGTGGAACGTAGTCCTCCTTCAACAGCACACCTTCATTTCAACTTGTTGTCTTCACTCCTTTTTCACTGGATCCAGGGTTGCCCATAAGCTTTCACCTCCTGCTCATATGACCTCCCTACTACTGTAACCCTCTGACGCCCAAATCGTCGTTTCCCATCCCAGTTCCACTCAAGGGCCTGACGGATGATGATGTCACTTGGCGGCCTCTCTCCGATCCATCTTTATCTCCTTTTGCAAATTTGTTGGTTGATAGTTTTTTGGTTTGTTAGTTCCATATTGCTTATCTTTCCCGCCCTTCTGATCTTCGGTACCAGAGCCAGAGAAAACAGCTGTATCGTAAAAGTCTATGGTGGCGCCTGTTGGAAATGTTTTTCTTGACACATGCGCCAAATCTCTGAGCCATATATATAGAAGCGTTGACTGACTTGACATTAGTGTTGAAAAATACGAATCTTATTCCCCTGTGCTGGGTACAAACAGCAGGTTTCCACAATGACTTCAGATCGATGATCAACTGAGTCTTCTTGCCTGTTTAGATAAGTCACAGAGAGAGAGAGAGTGAGACAGAGAGAAAAATTCCTTTCGTTTTCTCCTGTTGATAGTGACTGATGCTTGCTGTTGTTAATATTATTGTTATTATTCAGTTTGTAGTCATTGTATCACCTCTAAAGACAAATCAGTGTGATTACACATTCGAGGGTCAAAAATATAACTATCGCTTCCTTTGTAAATCAAAAGAAAAGCAACTACTCGAGTGCTATGGCGTACCCCAAATATTCATCAACCTTATTCAACAGCTGTACGACAACGGAACATGTCAAGTGATCCACAACAGCAAACTCAGCGAGGCGTTTGGAGTAAACACAGGAGTCAGACAAGGGTGCTTAATATCACCAATGAATGATATTCCTAATTGTGGTGGACTGACTGGATTATGCGTCAGACAGTGAGTGGGAAACGAGAAGACAGGGATATCTATCCTGGACCGACGTGAAGAACCTAGAACCTAGACCTGGATTTCGCGCGTGGATGATTTATGTTTGATGACACACAAAATCGAAGACTTACAGGCGAAAACCGACCGACAAACTGGTGGAAGAAGCAGCCGGCGAAGAAAGGACTCCAGGTAAACATAGACAAGACGGAGGTTATGAAAATTACCAGCCAGCCAACAACAGCAACATCCATCGCCAATCACCATCAACAGGAGGGAATTGAAAGTGATTACTTCATTCACCCACTGATCTAGGGAGCATTGTCTCAACTACAGACAGACGGAACGGACCAGGATGTCAAATCGAGCGAGAATCGGGAAGGCGAGCGGGAAACACATTCATCAACCTGAAATCAATCTGGAAATCTTCGTCACTCAGCATCAACAACAAAGTTCGGTCGGATTTTCAATACAAACGTCAAGTCAGTTCTCCTATACGGGCCACAAAGAATATTTCCAACAGCCTGTTGCAGACCTTCATCAAACAACAACTGTCTTCGCTGACTCTATACTGAAATAACTCTGGTCGGGCCGGAAAGAATCACCAACAATGGAAAACTATGGGAACAAACAAGCAAAACAAGAACCAATCGCCAACCAACAAATATGCAGGAGAAAGTGGAGATGGATTGGACACTGACTCGTTGAGGAGGCCGCTGGGTGATACCGCACGCGCGTCAGGCCATTGCTCCAGTGGCACTAGGCTGAAAGGGAAGCACGCGGTGAATGGGACGTCAGTGCAAGGGTGACATGGAGGAGATCGTGTGAAGAGTTGAGGAGTTGAAACAGTATGGACTAAGATGGATGCAGGTGAAAAGTACAGCAGGAGGAAGACAGAAGCAAGTCGAGATGTGCAGTTGAAGTCGTATGTTCCACTAGGAACCCAAGGGAACAATAATAGATCACAACAATGTAATCTACTTGATACCACAAAAGCAGCTCACATATATATATATAAATTGTTCAGAATTCCACTGTTGACAGTCTTTATTTAATATTTTGAGTAATTCAGTAATTCATCAAATCAATATCAATCTTATGATCAATGACAAAAAATCGATAAATACATATGTAAACAAAACAAAAAAACAAATGGAAATTAAGCTTAGACTACACTGACCAAATAAATATAACTCCATTACACGTAGACGAACTTCAGCTGATGAAATTGTATCTTCTGTAGTGGCTTTGGCAGAGTTCACAGTTGGTTTGCCTTTGCTCATAATGCTTCTATCCGCCTTTCTTACACAACAATATGTTATCCATAGCCATTGTGGTAAACAGATAAATAGCACATATAGAAAATGCATATTCAATACAAATATCGATCGTATACACTGGTATAAACATTGAAGCAGTGATGTTGTATGCACTGATCGAGTCAATTCACTATGCGTACTACATCCAAGGGAGTGCAGGCATAACTTCAGGTGATAATCTGCTATTGACCATGTCAACTAGAGAGGGAGGGGGAGAAAAAGGTTGATAAGACGATCAATCGAAACCAAAAAAAGTTAAGAGAGATAGATAATTGATAATGGTAATAAATATTGATTTGATCATAGCACACAAACATACATACACAAACTATCTATTGTTAGGGGTAACGCATAAATGTGAAAAGGCATTTTGTTGACCTAAATGATCTGATAGACAGTTTTTATTTTCAAAAATCAATCGGGATAGGTATATAAATAAATAAATAAAAATTCATCTAATAAATATGAGGACATAGTCACATCATATATATGAGGCTAGACACATTTATATAAGAGAATGTGAATAATCTCCATTCAAACTATATACATAAAAACAAAATTTCGGAGATAATGTATATGATGCGAAAGAGATAGGGCATGTAAACACAAATCGTGAGCGGATGTAATTACACAAACACGCAATCAAACATGTGACCAATTTTACATTACCCCGATGTTACTGATGACAGTTGTGAAAGAAAGACAAAACAATTTTGAAGTGTGTTTATTGGTGAGCGAAGATACGGGCTTATTGGAATAAGTACTCGGTTTTCAGCCGATGTAACCCTGGGGTTTTTAAGTTCCACGCCATCTACTTCATTCAGCCTGAGTGAGACTGGGTAGTAGTAGCATCATCAATACTCGTCCCAAACACACATGCAAAAATATCGAGGCTTTCGGTTAGGTGATGTTTAGGAGTTCATCGGGGAGGGGGGGTAGGGAGTCGAACCCGAACTACATTGCGTGTAGTTGACGAGCATCCTACCATTAAACCGACAACACACATACTACCGATATCCACTTGGTTACGAGGGTCACAATCGAGCTTAAGTGAAAATTATTGGCGGCACTCCGTATTCTTTGTATATTATATCTATTGAAAGATGAAAAATCAGTAAACAGTCGGGTGATTTCCCATTGAAATATGCAGAAAAAGACATTTGAAATCACACCCATTGCACAAGAGATGACTCTCGTAGGAGAGCACTTACCTGAGCTACAAATCTTTATACTTATATCAATCTTCACTACTGCAAAATATTCAATATGTCCTCCTCCAAGTACTAAGATCCATCACTATTTCAGTGGAGGTCTGTCTGTCTGTTTTCGACATAGAACTTTGCACAAATGTGCGGAAGTTCAAGTCGCCACACTTCGTGTAGCACGCGAAGCAAGAGAAGAAAGTACAAGAAAAGCATAATAGAGACACTGAGCAGAGGTGTGAGACAAAGGAGTAATAAAGAAATACAAAACAGTTTCATTGGAGATCATAAGTCACAAGGAGTGGATGCATCTGCGCTGGCCACTGAGAACGATTTTGAGCCATGTCACCAATTGTTTCCAACCATAGATTTTTACCGTCTCGAGGACCCCAGCCTGGAAGTCTACACCTTCCTACGTGGCTTAGACCAACTGTTGTGGATTTCATTGACTGGTGAGGCCGAATTTTCGTTTGACCGCCGCTAGCTTTTTTCCAGCCTAACCCTATATCCGCTAACATTGCTTGGCGAGGGAGGCGATGACTAGTCATACGTAACACATGTCCTAACCATCTCAGTCTTTGTAGCTTCACGACTTCGTCGATTGACTTCCCCTGTTTACCTAGAACTCTACGCCTAACTTCAATATTGCTCACCTTATTATGCCACTTTACACGGGAGATAGAGCGCAGGCACCTATGATCAAAGACAGCTAGTCTTTTCATGTCTTCCACTCTCAATGGCCAGGTCTCACAACCATAAAGGAGGACGGAGCGGACTGATTGGCAGTACACCCGCCCTTTGGTCGATAGTCGAACATCTCGTCTACGCCAGAGTCGGCGTAAACTGGCAAATGCGAAACGAGCCCCTTGTATTCGTGCTGAGATTTCGTCAGAGATCAACCCGTTGGCACTGGCTGATGGTACTTCCCATATAAGTGAAGCGGTCAACGTGCTCCACTAACCACTTCACTTCCTATTTCTAAACTAGCAGTCAGTGTAGTCCAGTTAAGTCCTGTAGCATCATCTTACATTTGGCGGGAGCGAATCGCATGCCAAACATTCGTAGATTGCGGCTCAAGGTGTTTAGAAGACTCTGCATTTTGTCAGCGTCTTCGCCTAGGAGGACTATATCGTCTGCATATTCCAAGTCAACGAGATTATTCCCTGGTAGCAAGTCAATCCCTGAGTCGCTGAAGTCACCTAGGGTTAAGTCCATTAACACATCTATGATGAAGTTGAATAGGAAAGGGGATAATGGACATCCTTGACGGACACCACTAGTCGTCAGCAGTTCAGATGACAACTCACCGTAAGCCCTCACCTGGCTGTATGAGTACGAGTACAGTGCCTTAATCAGTGCAATGTATTTTCTCGGCATTCCTTTACAGCCAAGCATCGCCAGAGAACCTCTCGGTCGACAGAGTCGAATGCTGTCTTTAGGTCAAGAAATATAATGACTGCTGGACGCCGGTAGGAATTCCTATGTTCTAGAATCTGTCGGAGGGTGAAGATATGATCAATACACTCTCTTCCTGGTCTAAAGCCTGCCTGGTTCTCTCGTGTTTGTGCCTCCCGAGCACCACTCAGTCTACGCAGTGGAGGTAATGCTTACTGGCTTAAGCAATTGGTTCTCAATGGATGCAACCAAAGGTTCAAGTCATATACCCCGCCAGTAATCCAGCTTGCACAACTAAGTAGTATCACCACCCCTACACGAATAGTGTGCTTCTTGGCTTGGTACATGAAAAACCTGCACCGGGTAAATGAGCTTGAAAATCAAACTACTTTTTCAAAGGGTCAAATAGCCGAAAAGTATTCAACTTTCGCTTGCCATTAATTTCAAAATAAAAGATACTAGTGGTGAACGAGAAACACATTAAAATACTGTGTAATCAAAATGGATAACAACACACGGGTAAAATCTTTAGAAATTCTTTGAAAATTCCGGTTTTTCTAAAGGGATATATAAACTTTGGAATAAACTCATAGATTTGGGGCAATGAGTACTGTTGGTGTAATTTGTTTTGCATTGTTAACGACAACAACAGTCAATAATTACGTCTGTTTCCCAATCTCTTCTCTGCCTAACTAACCAATTCAAGTATCTTTTTACTTTCAGTACTTTCTTGCGGGGATATATCTCTGGATTCATGCGTAAACAACAGTCCCCATAAACCACTTGGTACAACCGAAGGTGGGGACACTTCGGTCCTCCTCTCCAAATACTTTCATGAAGGCACATAGCCTCTATCAGGTAAGTCGTATTCACCGCCAACACGCGGTAGCGGTGTTCCTCAACAAAGTGAGAAGGCGAATGCTAGCGTCTGTCGCTTCCAATAGGACTAGTGGATATGCAGATCTGCCCAAGGAGAGCTGGAGACCTATAGTGTCCATGGCCTCCAGAATACGAACGAACCAAATGGCGTACGAATCTGTTTTGGTCACCGGACACTATGGGGGAACGTAGTTCCTGATGCTGCTCGACTGCCTTGCAGATTAGACTATCCGGCCAGTATCCTTCCCCTAGTAAAAGATAGGAGATTTTGTGTGGAGCATCTCTTTTTTTTTTCTTTCACATTCCCCAGTGGAACACAGGGCTTCAAGCTAGTGGCTTGAAGTTTCTGTAGCAGTGTTTATTTTTACAGGATGGGGTTGCTTGCCTCATGCCCAACCTTTCCTCTTTATCAGCATTATTTCTGGCTTAGCGAGGTAAAGGAGTACGTCTGTGGCCGGGGATCGAGCCTCGGACCATGTGCATGGTCGGTGAACATCCTAACCGCTATGCCACCGACGCACACGGAGCATCTCTTGGTGCTCATATAATGTACCAAGTTTGTTTTCATAAAAATAATAATGAGGACAACAGGTGAACACCTAATTTAGGCAAAAGACTTTCTAACTTAGCAAAACACATGTCAACTTCAATCATTAGCGTCAGGTTATCTAAGACAAACGGAAACTATTTTCTCTAACACTGATATGTAACACCTTAGGGTTCATTAAGTGGTGATACACACCTAAATACGTCGAACACTCACTGTTAGTCAGAAGTCATTTACTTAAACCTCTTTTGGTGAGAAGGCCAACCATACTACTCAGTTGACTAGGCTGAGATGCGAGGAGACAGGTTGAAATCCTGCACACATTGTAGTTGGAAGTCAATTACTTAAATCGATAAACCGCATCCCATACGTCGCACAGCCACACACACACACACACACACAGACATGTTTGCATTATTTAGGAATAAGTCAATAAAACAACTCAAATTAGCTGTATACTTTTTTTTACCTGATTCATAGCTATATTAGCTTGTCTATAATGCGATCTGGCATTGAGTATTGAGACAGTTCTATGCTTCGATTTCATGAAATAATCAAGCCATTTAAATGAAATATGCTTTCTATGACATGCCCAAGAACATAATAACAAGGCAATAAACCATTGTAATGCATATATGAATGAAATCAACCATGAATTTGACATGTTCATTAAATTCATGAAACCGCTGGATGGATCGAAATAGTTCAATAAACTCCTTGAAGTTGGTAATGACGGTGATGATGATGACGACTTCTCACCTGAATAATAAAAATTGTACAAAAACATTTGAAAAGGTAAATATTACGGAAAATAAGAATAAAATAATAAATAATAATAAAAATAATAATTATTATTGTTTCCTTTAATTCCTAGAGGGCTTCAGCTGCACATCTTCATTGCGTTCGCTTCTCTGCTAAGGTTTTCACTTGGCTCCAGATCTGCCCACATGCTTTCATCTCCTCTTCACATAACCTCCTCCATGTCACCCTTGTACTGACGACCAACTCGCCGCTTCCCTTTCGGGTTCCACTTGAGTGATGGCTTGTCTAGTGATGTCAGTTAATGGTTGGTTTCCTCAGAGTATGGCTAATCCGTCTCCATTTCTTTCCGTCTATTTGTAGCACAATCGGTTCCTGACTGGTTCGCTCCCAGAAGTCTTTGAGCATAGGTGACTATTTTCTGTTCCTCGTGTTAGCTGGTATGATATGATGAGTGATATATTCAGCTTAGGTGTAAATTGTTAGATGACAGAGAGGGAAGTCAGTCAATGAGTTTGTGAAGATGGACGACCGATTGAGAAGGCTAGGACACTTGTTACGCGTGCCAAGCCTTGTCAACCAATCCAAGATGTCATAGGACTAGATTAGAAAGGAGTTCAGAATGGTCAAATCAAAACCTAAAATCAATCTATCAAGTCTTTGCCAGTTGATTTGAGTTGCTTAGGGCGATGTAGACTGCCTGTGTTGGGGTCATTGGGATGCAAAAAACCAATGGTTTCAGACTGTTAGTGGAGTACTTCATAATCGTTTTCAACGATGGAGACGCATTCACTCTTTGTAATCTCAAACAGATTCATAAAATCCTTATGTTTCTCCGTGTTACTATTCTTTCCCCGTAAATTTCTGAACATTATAGTTCTTGGCAATTTCTTTCCCCTCTCTTTTATGGTCTATATAGACAGTAGCACTTCTATGCAAAGATCTACGTTGAAACACTCAGTCACAGTATGATTTTACTTAGAAATGTGATCAGTTGAACTGAATATTATAGTGTGTATATTTTATCTAATCAACCTGAACTCCATTGATTTGTGTGTGTGTGTGTGTGTGTGTGTGTGTGTGTGTGTGTGTGTGTGTGTGTGTGGAGAATCACATTTTAGTATGATTATGTATGGCACATTTAGAGAACGTACGTCTCTTATTTTACTGAATCAATCCTTGTTAAACATGACCTATCACGAAATTGGCTGATCATTCGTTCAATCATTAACGTTACCATAAGTCAGCCATTTAATAATCTTAATTTGATATTATTGTTGTTTTGTTTCCTGGTTACCAAAACTAAACAAAAAAGTGTATGATAAAATGAATAATTAGTTTCCAAAAGAAGCTACAATAACGATAGTTGCTACGTTGATAAAAAGGTCGGGCCTATATAGCGAAATGATCCAATCAGCTATACTGGCGGTTCCTGGAGGTCCCACTAAGCTAGAAAGGTCGTTTGGCTAGCGGTTAGACTAAAAGCAGTCACCATTATAGTGACACTATGTTGGAAGGTCTGTGAGCGAAGTTGTACTGATGTCACATATGGATGCACCAGCGATAAGGCAGTCTCCTGATATGAACGACCAGCTATAACTACGGCGGCCGCTCGTAGCCAATCTTCAGTAAATAATAATACAATAATCTCCTTGTCAAACAGACAAGTCAACTCGCGGTTGAGTTGACAATGATAAAAATAGCAACTTTTCTTCAAATATAAAGTATGCTCTGAAATTTATCCTGATTACGTGATCAATAAAAGTGCATACTGTGATCTCGTGTAAACTTCAGAATGAATCGGATATTATTTTTACAGGCATTTGCTCTTATGATCCTTTTATTGTAGACTCGAGTTCTTGATAAGTGAACACGAATTGCAGGTGATAAAATTACAATATGGAACCGTTTTAAGAGAAAAAAGTGACTCATTACAGATCTGAGTCAACCTGTGCGTCGGTGGCACAGTGGTTAGGACTCTCGCCGACCATGCTCATGGTCCGAGGTTCCATCCCCTGCCGATGCACACCTGATATCTATGGTCGGCCTGCAAAATTCGGGCTACCGATATCCATGCTGAAAATTCCATACTTGTACCAAAAATACAGTGTGGAATCAAGCTGTAAACGAAAATTAAAAAAATAAAATAAATTCTACCAGCGCGATATACGCTGACAAAGGAAAGAAAATTGGTGTGCTCAAAGTAAAACCTCTCACCAGTCATTCACGATGTTTTCGACTGTTAGTTTGAGACACACAGGGAGGTGCTGACCGCCTGAAAAGAGTCCTCAAGATGCTAAGAACCAATTGATGAAGACTATCGATGATATAGGTCAAAGTTATTTTCGGTGACGCAGATGCATTCATTCTTTGTCACCTCCAAAATCCATCAAATTCTCACTATATTCCATGTGATTATTTTTTCCCCTATATCCCTGTTAACTATAGTTTTTTTTTTCACATTTTTGCTGTTTACCTTAATCCAGACTTTGATTAAGTATGGTAACTTGAACTTCTGCACATTGAACCAGTGTCAACTTATTCACAAGGATGACTGAGTGGTCATAGGTTTTGAGTTCAGGTCGCAGTCCACTTTCTTAAGGTTGATTTGGAGTTTCACTTTTGGCAATACATTGTCGGCAACCATACCACGTTGAAAACAACAATCCCTACCGAAAGTTTGATGTACATCGATGATGCAATGGTAGGATGTTTGCCAACTATTACTCATGTGGTCCAGATATGTATCCTAGCCAATGAGCTCTGAAACATCGCTTATTTTTTTTATTTTTTATTTTTGATTACAGCTTCATTCCACACTGTATTTTTGGTGCAAGTATGGAATTTTCAGCATGGATATCGGTAGCCCAAATTTTGCAGGCCCACCACATATATCAGGTGTGCGTCGGTGGGGGCTTGAACCTCAGACCATGAGCATGGTCGGCGAGAGTCCTAACCACTGTGCCACCGACGCACATCTGGTAGTAAGCCTAGCAAAGAAGGGAGATTGGCAGACTGACTGACTGGTTTCAACATAGAACTTTTCACTGATGTGTACCAGTTCGAGTAGCCACACTTCACTCAGCACACAAATCCAGAGAAGAAAGTAAAAAGAAATCCAAACTAGAGACAATAAACAGAGATATGAGGCAAAAGGGATAATAATAACGAAGAGCAATATAGTTTTATTGGGTATTGTAAGTTACAAGGAGTGGATGCATCTGCGTCAGCCATTGAGAACAATCACTTTGAGCCATATCACCAATTGTCTCCAACCATTGGTGTTTACCGTCCCGAGGACCCCAACCAAGAAGTCTACATCTTCCCACGTGGCATAAACTAACTGTTGTGGATTTGATTGTTTGGTGAAGCCACGTTTTGGTTCGACCACCACTGGCTCTTTTCCAACCTGATCCATCTTATGTTAGCTAACATTTCCCATTATCGAAGAAGGCGATGACTAGTCATACGTAACACATGTCCTAACTATCTCAGTCGATGTAATTTCACAGTCTCATCTACTGATTTCCACTCCTTACCTACCTAGCACTCGACCGACACCTAACCTCACTCGCAATGCAAAGGAATGGAAAAAGATCCTACAACACAGGTGAAACACTTTACTTGATCAAAACCCTAAAGACATGAAATACTACTCAATTCTACTAGTTTCTACCACCATAATGACTTTTGTCTGTTGAAGGGAAACTCTTCATTCAACACTAAAATGTATATTTTTCTTCCCTAAGAATTGATTCTCATTTAATTTCTCTGCAGCTACTATTGCAGTGTCAGTTAATTCACGTAAATTTATTACAGAATTTTCAAAGATATTATTGCCATGGATTTTAAACCTTAATTGCCACTGGCAGATTTCTTGCTTGTATGTGTGGATCTTGAGTACTAGAGTATACACTCCGCACTAGACGCATGATATTAGTTACACTACCTAGTGTCCAATTGGAGTATTCCTTACTGATCAGTCACGAGCCCGAATAGGTCAGCAGCAACGTCCACCACTGCAGCACCGAGTAACTCAGGTTCGAAACTCAGATGGGATATGAGTTCCTGGAAGATAGCAGATATGCATTGCTGACTAGTGCTAACAAGCACGAAACTTAGGTGGCCATGGTTTACATCCGATTGCCTCCAACCATGCAACAGACGACAACTCCATATCACACAAATTCATATGATATGGTACAGGGTGACTGTTACTATCATTAATTCCTTGTTCTGCGAGGAGTAGCCCGTCGCCAATGCATTAGGCTTTCTGATGCCTTCTTTAGCGATATCCACGAATACCTGCAGGTTTTCACTTACTCGTCACACGCCAGGTTACTCCCGAATCCAGGACCAATTTGTCACTTTCTATTAGAGTTCCACTCGACAGCCAGGAATGTGACGTCACTTACGGGTCTCTTCAGTTCGTAGCATAATAGGTTCCTTGTCATTTGTACTTTCCCAACAACTGATCTTCAACATCGAGAGAAGAGGATGGCTATTTGGTGAAAATCTGCAGCGACCTGTTAGGAAACGTTTTCCGTAACGTGCCAAGTCTCAGTACAGGATGGCAGAGTATATTAATTGGATGACATCTAGAGGATAAACTACTACTACTACTACACCAGGATGATTATACTACTGACACTCCAAAGAACAGGCTTTGTTGAATTGAAAAAGCTTGTAGGTATTTGACAGTCTCATAACTGAACTCAATTACCCAAAACAGACTACATATGCATCGGGCAAACAGCCGCACTTATCAGACTCGAACCCGTGACCAACTGGTTGGAACTAAGTGTACAAAGCCAATGAGCCACTTCTCCACACCTGATAGCCCAGGCGGACAGTAATTGTGTACAGTGGTTGTGTACACAACCAAAAAAAGGACAAATGAAATAAGAGAACAATGGATGAGTAAAAAATATTTGCAAATAATTATTGATTAACCTACCACCGCTGTTTGAAGTACTCCAATACATTTGATTAGTCACCTGGGCCGGATTGAACGCAATCAAACATAAAGCAGCAACACACAGAGTTGTACGAGCAACAGCTTCATTGAAACCAACTCCTCCGTTTGGAATATATTGATTTGTATCAGTAGCATTCGATTTTGTGGGCATTGAAAGAGGGTGAGGACATGAATTATTTTCACAGAGCAGTTGGCATACATTTGGAAATTGAGCACGAATATTACTAGTGGCCAGTGTACTATTGTGATTATTACTGTCAGCAAGTGTGTTATTAATCTCCCCTTTGATTTGTGGAATAGGCAATTTTTTGACCCTATAATCACGATTATTAACCAACAGGTGATTACAACTTGTTTTCATTGGAGTGAACAATTCAATGTTAGAGTTTTCAGCTATAATGAAATGAAAGAGAACATAGGCAATTATAGAATAGTTTGCGGATTAATGATTAAATAATAAAAAAAATAGTATGAAGATTTTATCTCTCGCCTTCGCGGTCTATGGTCAAATATAGTCAGGTTAAACGTGGAGTGTATGATAGGAAGGGAAAGTAAATCGATGATGAGCTTATGAAGCTTCATTGATTGGGATTGTTAGGAAATACGCGTTATGCTAAGCCAAGTAACCACCTTCCTTGTCGAACAATGTTATCTGACCAGGTTGAAAAAGAGTCAAGGGCGGTCAGACTAAAAACTTGGCATCAAGTCATGAACTCCTTGACCATCGCATTTGAGATTTCCCCGTCGATAGATTCGACCGACGTGCTCGGTCCCAGGTTGATATGTCCGCTTCTTGTGAAGATGCTTCGAGGATTTCTGGGCATTTAGTTAGTATTTAATTGGTGGATGGTGACTAGCAGTGGAATCCAGGATGCACATTTCGTCCCGTTTAGGGCCTCGTCAGCCGGACCGAAAGCTGCTACCTTGACGTGGTGGTCGGGCTTGAACACTGCAATGACCTACTCAAGCTAAACTGGCTGAGACTTATGTCTCTTGAGGTCCTACCATGCCAGGCAGGTTGTTTGGATAGCGGTTAAACAAAAAGCAGCTACCCAATCCAACATCATGACCAATACAAAATCACAAAATTTCAGTGACAACAGGTTGGTCTCCGACGAAATCTCAGTACGGATACCGAGGGCTAGTTTCGCATATGCCAGTTTACGCCGACTCTAGCGTAGACGAGATGTTCGACTATCGACCAAAGGGCGTGTGTACTGCTCATCAGTCCGCTCCATCCTCGTTTGTGGCTGTGAGACCTGGCCACTGAGAGTGGAAGACATGGAAAGCCTGGCTAGCTGCCTTTGACCATATGTGCCTGTGTTCTATCTCCCATGTTAGATGGTAGAATAGGGTGAGCAATATTGAGGTTAGGCGTCGAGTTCTAGGTAAACAGGGGAAATCAATCGACGAAGTCGTGAAGTTACAAAGACTGAGATGTGTTACCTATGCCTGGTCATCGGCTTCTTCGACAATGGGCAATGTTAGCTGACATAGCATTTGTCAATCTGGAAAAGAGCTAGCGGTGGTCAAACCAAAACATGACACCAGTCAATGAAATCCATAACAGTTAGTTTAAGCCATGTAGGAAGGTGTAGACTAGCTTCCTGGTTGGGGTCCTCGGGACGGTAAAAATCAATGGTTGGAAACAATTGGTGACATGGCTCAAAATCGTTCTCAATGGCCGGCGCAGATGCATCCACTCCCTGTGACTTATGATTTCCAGTGAAACTATATTGTTCTTCGATATTACCATTCCTTTGTCTCACACCTCTGTTTACAGTCTGTATTATGCATTTCTTCTACTTTCTTCTGTTGGTTTGTGTACTACATGGAGGGAGTGTGGTGACTTGAACTGGTGTACATCAGTGCAAAGTTCTATATCGAAGTTCACATCTAATAAACAAACTAATATGTGTCCAAGTTTTACACATATATTAGTACTATCAATCCACCAAATCTTCCGTTGTTGGTTTGAGGAACGTAGGGTGGTAGGTGTAGACTGTCTGATTGTAGGGTGGTAAAAATGCTGAGAATCAATGCCTTGAGACTATGGTAAAACGGCTCAAAATCGTTCAAAATGGCATAGATTCTATTTTTTTATTTTTGATTACAGCTTGATTCCACACTGTATTTTTGGTGCAAATATGGAATTTTCAGTATGGATATCGGTAGCCCGAATTTCGCAGGCCGACCATAGATATCAAGTGTGCGTCGGCCGCGGATCGAACCTCGGACCATGTGCATAGTCGGCGGGAGTCCTAACCACTGTGCCACCGAGGCACAGTGTATTCACTCTTTGCAATCTCCCAGGCCCAATAAATCTGCATGATTCTCCAAGTGTTTATTCTTTCTCGACTAAATTTCTGCTCATTATAGTTCTCTTAAACTTCTTTGTCTTCCCTTTTTCCTCATCTTCATACACTACACGGAGTGTGTCGTAACTTGAACTTCTACACTCCTATGCAAAATTCTATGTTGAAACTCAGCTCGACAGTGTAGATAACCACAGTTGTCGCCTATCCATTAGTTATGCACGAATCGTGCCGACTTGAATGAACAACACCAACATGTCATCCAGTTTCGTATTAATTTCTCTTGTCTCTCATAATACACTAAACACACACACACACAGACACGCTAATAAATTAAAGAGATGGAACTCACTGAAGAACTTATTTCCACTTTTATTTATTAAGTAAACAGATTCTTTAATATGTAGGTACACATTTATCATGATCATTAATCAAGTGACTTGGCTATGCACTCACTGAACAATCAAATAATTAATTGCTTAACAAAATAAAAGCCATTTTTTCTTCTCTCATCTACTTGCCTTTTACAAATCTATTTCTATTTATGCAGACATTTATGTGAGTTATATTTACTTGTCTACATAGAGCCGATAGTATTATCAATACTGTTGAAAGTTAACGCTAAATAGAACTTTGCACAAAAGTTATACAAGTCCAAAATTACCACACACCACCAAACAGAACACGAAGGTTGAGAGAGAAAAAAACGAATTCGAAATAACCATAATGAACGGGGATGTACAGAAGAAAGAATGGATATTGGAGAACACACAAAGAGTGAATGCACCCGAACCATTGAGAACGACTTTGATCCGTGTTATCAAATATTCCCAAGCCTCTGATCCTCAGAATCTCAAAAACCCCATACAACCAGGCCTTAAACTAACAGTCAAAGTCTGCACGGATCGACACCACACATCCTTCGATCGACAGCCAAATTTCACATCATCTACGCTAAAGATGACTAAAACTGGCGAAAGCCACAAGAGCTTTTTGTATCCGTGCTGAGAACACCTCAGCAACCATTCCGTTAGAGTTGACACAACTTTCCAAATAAGTGGACTGATCAACACGTTCGGTGAAGATAGACCAGTTCTGAAGCATCAGCGTCTTACATTTGACGGCAAAGAATTGCATGGCAAACATAATAATTATTATTTGCTCTATTCCAAAACAGTACTTGTGATACAGAATGGAATTCTCACCATTTCACTACAGTATTGCATCCAGTTAGTACATTATCAATAAATAAAATTCTACATAGATTAAGGTAATCTCAGTTCATCATGACAACAACATATTGGTATGTCGGTGGCAAAGCCAAAATTGAAGAGTGTTTGAAGGTGTTAGAAAAGTAGATGCTAGTATATTTACTGACGTAAGCAGAAGAAAGAAACAAAGGAGCACATAACAGAGAGAAAAGGAAAAAAAGAAAGAAAACGTTGTACCTATAAGTGATATGAGTTGGAAAGACGAGATCCAGTCGTTCTACTGACTATTTAATAAGTTATAGGTATCACGCCTAATGCTTTCTTTATCGCACGAAACACGAGCTAAGTAGGGTATGGTTGAGTTTTTGTACTCACTAGTGCGAGCATATAGTTTTCTATATAGGCTTCTGGTATGGGCTGGCCTGATGAGATACAAGGGGAGAGTTGTGAATGAAGAGGGTGGGGTGAGTCAGATAAAATGGATTTCGCCCATTTTTCACATGAGTCAGTGTGTCTGTCAACCAGAATACTAACAAGCTGGTTAAGTAGCACGTAGCTTACCCTGCCGACAACCTTTAACATCCTACATAATAAGGTGTGGTCTTTCTTCAGTAGCTAGCCCTCGAAAAACTAAGGGGGACAATAGAGAATAATAGGCAGAATGCGAGAGTTGACGAATCTTAAGAGTAAGGGTTGGGTTGGGTTATTCCAGAATGTCTTAACTTCTTGATGTAGAAGGTAAGACTGAATATTCTCTTAGAAATCACCAAGATATGAGGCGACCAGGAAAGATCAGCAAATAGAATGACGCCAAGATATTTAATTTCCGACTTGGTTTCTATTTCAGTGCCATCTATGTTGCAGACCTCGTGAGTGCTAACCTAACATACTAAAATTTCCACTCAACATATTCAGAACCAACAATTTGAAACGTAAATATTTCAACAACAACAACAACAACAACCAAACAAATACACAAACCTGAACGCTTCCGACGGCCTGTATGCTCACAACTATTTTTAATGATTGCTGGCGGTTCCGGCAGAATAACAGCTGGATGCGGTGGTATACCGAAAATTTGTTGCTGCTGTTGTTGTTGTAGTATTGGTTGTGTTAGTGTCGGCTTGCAACAATGTTGAATATTATTTCCTGATGGCATTAATGATTGTGGTGATAAATGATAAAAGCGTTGTTGATTTTCACGATTATTAATACTATTGATAATTTCATAGGAATCAAAAAGATTAACATTATTATTACTACTAGTATTATTATTATTATTCTGATACACAAGCGATGATGATGAAGCTGCCCCATTGGAGATTGGCGATACAGATGCATACTGTGTATTGCCGCCACTGATTAACTTTTTGTCATAATTTTGTTGAAAGTTGAACGGTGAATTAATCGATGGTGGCGAAGAGGATGATGATGACGATGAAGATGAATGGAAGGAGTATTCTGAATGTTCCTTTATTTTCATTAATAAAACATCTTTGTCAGTATTAGTAGTTTGGGATATATTAGTTGATTGATGAAGAGATTTAACAGGAGCAGAAGTAGGGGCGACAGCAGCAGTAGCAGAGAAATGATACACTTGATTCGGTGGAATGCAGTATTCAGTAGGCACAGTTTGTGGAGATTTTTTACACTGATAGTTATGATGATGATAATAATAATAATCATTTATTTCTTGATGACTTAAAGAAACTGGTGACGTTTCAAACGAATATGGTTCGTTTTCTGAAGTACCGTCTACAACAGTAACAACAACAACAACAAAAATTAAATTTTAAACATTTTTATTTGAAAACGTTGTCACACAAAAGGTTGTTATTCAATATACAGAAAAATACTGTTCATAACAAAATTTGCCCCTAGGGATTTGAATGATTTCAAATTTGATTACGGATTGACATCAGTTAAAGGAACCACTGAAAATCAAGCGAGAGTACTGGACAGATGATTCATCTAACTATGGGACTGCAACAGCAAGACGCACTCATGATCATTGCCAAGGATCCAACACGAAATCTTCAGGCGATAAGGAGAGCTTGTTGACTATTTAGCCACTAGTGTGGTGAGATCTGGCTGTTAGTCAAAATTGGTCGACAGTAATTTACGTCAATGTTCATGTCCCCAATATTGGTCGTGAGAAAAATGAGAACGAAGGCTTTGCGTAGGCGGATACAGTTAACATATAGATGATTTGACATTCAAGAAACAACCACAAAGAGATGCAAGGTCAACTTTCTGTGAGAAACAACCAATCAGAAGACTGTTTTTCTGCTAACAATAATCTATAATATGCACATGAAAATTTATAAATATTTGTTGATTTCCTTAATAAACGATCGTTGCCTGGCCCTTGTCTTCTGTTGTTACACTAGGACGGGACCTATAGGGCTTATGAATTCTAACTTCTGCCAATTTGTGACATATTTAGCAATATGACCAACCGATACCAAAGGCAATTAATTATCTATTTTTACATACATCTTGGCGGACCATACCCCCGTTCCCCCACTGGCCAAGACTTCTCACCAGAATACTATCCTGACGTCAGTCATTTATGAGCAGTACTACTGAGTAGACAAAAATGGAATAATACAAACAGAATGGACAGAACAGGTGAGGATAATTTTAAAAAATCTACCGCATACATTTAGAATTTTGAAGAGAATAAAAAGTAAGTACATCTGTGTTATTGTGAGCACAATTTAAGGTTTAATCAATGTACGGTGTGAGATGGCAAATATTCGTTAACTTAGGTATAACTACCTTCATTTAATAGACAGTATGATTAGGTTAGACAAGAGATAAAGGTGAACAAATTAAGAAACAGAAGTCATAAATGCAGTCATTGGTTGTTAGTAAAAGCCGTGTGAGTACAAGTCATATACATGTCTCGTGGAGTGCCAAGGAAAGCACACGATTACTGGACGGATATCCAGTCCTAGTTTGGGACTCCTCAGTAGTACCTACTCGCCGGAGGTCAAGCCCAGGACCTCTTACAAGAAAAGCCCATAGATCGTTATGCCACTGGAACTTGATCTAGTGGTCCATGAATTCCAACTTTTACCAATTAGTGATTTTTCGGTGTGAACCCTGATGAGTGAGTACTGCTGAGGAGTCCCAAACAGGGACAAAGCAAACTTCCAGTACTCCCTAGTTTTCAGTGTTTCTCTGATTGACATCAATCCATGACCAAACTTGAAGGATAGAAATTCTCTACAACCGGTTCATCAACACTTTAAAATACTTCTAAGATGAGTATATCATAAGATGACACTGTGCATGTTGTTCTCAACAAGTATGTCTGGCATTCTTAGAAAAGAATTTGTGAAACTACCAAGTCGATGAGTGTAAAGCTTATTCCTGTAAAAGTGGAACTGTAGCTCATTGGTATGAATAAATTTTTTGCCTGAGACATGGATATAAGCACACTGTTTGCCAAGTTTTACACTGCTCTTTTTTTCTAACTGTATCTATAAATAATTATGAAAACTCTTAAATCACTTACGATTAGAATCAACATAAGATGAGGGATGATTACTCGAGCGTAAAACTGTTAATTCTGTCTTTAACTGAGCATTAATCTCTTCCAGTTCACGGATACGATCGATTGCACGGCGAAGAACAGCAGATTTATTCATCTAAATTGAAAGTAGAAGTGTCATTTCTCAGAGAAAAGTTCATAAAAAAATATAGTTGAAGTTAGTAAATCATAACGTGTGTGTGTAAACTAAGAGGCAGAGCAGTCAGCCGACGTAAAATAAACAGAAATTTTTTCAAGTATTGGTTTGTAGGGATTTGGTTGATTGGTTACAGGATTTCATCATGAGTTGACATTGTTTAGAGAACCATTGGAAAACCAACTGGGAGTACTGGACAGCTGTTTCCCCAGTCCTAGTTTGGGACTCTTCATCAGTACGCACCCACCAACAGGGTACGAACCCAGGACCTTCTGGTTACAAGGCGAGCTCGTAGATCATTAAGCAACTGGGACCCGATCCAATGACCAGCTCATGAATTCCAACTTCTGCCAATTCATGATATAACGCGACCACTAGCCAATGTCTTCGGCGAGTATTTGTTCTCACATTCGACCTGCCTTGCAGGAATTTCATTGATTTCAAGATTCATCACGAACTAACTTCATTTACAGAACCATTTAAAACTAGGGCATATCTAACAGAAGTTAAAACTGATAGGCCATTTGATTCTGTCCCAGTTGCTAAATGGTCAACGAACCCGCCCTGTAATTTGAAGGTCCTTGGTTCGATCCCTCATAGGCTCGTGAGTCCCAAACAAAAACAGAACAGCCGCCCAGTACTCTCTGTCGCTTTCCAGTAGTTGTTTAACTGAAGTCAGTCCGTGATCAACCTTGGAAATATGTTAAGCGAAAATCAATGATCAGTATATATATATATATATATATATATATATATATATATATATATATATATATATATATATATATATCGATTGCTTACAAAAGTCACTCAGTCAATGTGACATATCAGCAGTTTGCTGCACAGTTTACGTTGTGTTAATAAATTCTGACAAACAAGCTTCAGAAAATCAGTGTAGCAGGCAGATACCTTTAACCACGTTTTTTTGTTCAGCTGGAAAATAGCTGATATATGTGCAATTAAATTTCAGTCATTGTAAGTCAGAAACTGTATTGACCTAACAAGATATGAAAACTTTGCTAGTCACTTACGAACAACAACTACTGAGCTAAAATATTACCATTACATGACCTAAAAAACAAACTGATTGTACATGAAATTGACAACGAGCCCAAATGGTCATGAGATGTGGTGGTACTACTTCAGTAACTGCTACAAGACTTGACTCTACAACGAACTGAGTCTCTTGACTGATGCATATATGTTGTTACATCTTCAGTGAGTTAATCTTAATATAAATTGAAGAAATCGAAGATTTCATAAAAGGGTACACACTTGGGTGATAACATTTACTTGACACAACCCTTAAACTATAGACAAAGTTCTATTGGTGATGATACAAAATGCACTTACACAAACATAATTATAGTTTTGAAAATTACTAAATTTGATGGGCTAATCTACATTTATACACTCGAGGTATGCGTTCATAGAATCCTATTAATCGTATTTACTGGAAGATAAGAATTGTGTGAAACTGTCATTATGCGAGTGTGTGAAACATTGGTTTAAGCACTCAACTTACAGACAACGGGTCCTAAGTTCAAATTCTTCTCCATCTTAGACAACTAAGTTATGTCAACAGCCTCCACATAATTAGGCATAATTAACAGCTTAGCTAGCACATCAGAAATCTATCCCGCGTAATTAAGGTCAAATTGAATTCTGAGTACATACTAACTACCCTGCTACCACAGGGTTTCATCAGACTTTGTCGTCAAAAATTCTGTCGATAAACGCTCAAACCTTCTGACATGAAGTATGTACTTTAAACAAGCAACTAATGACACGTGTATCCTTTTAATTCTACACACTGTATTTCCTTAGTGACTGACTGCAAAAACGATCCATCTATAGGAAAGCGACGTGGAACGGACAATACACCCACTTCCAAAGCTTCATACCTATACAGTATAGGCGCAACCTAATTTGTTATCTTAGTCAGAGAATTAGACGCATATGTACCGACGACTGTATTGAAGATGAAACAAGAAATCTTACAAACGCCTTGCTACAAAACGACTATCCTACCAACTTTGTAAAGAAGTATATCTATGAAACTACACATAAAACCAAGCGAGACACAGTAAGAAAAAGCTTTACTTAAATGTACAATTCAAAGGCGATATAGCTAGTGATATATTAGACCGTAGATTAACGAGATCAATTGAAAGAACTTTTAATGCCGCAAAATTGCATGTCAGTTTCTCAATCAAACCGATATTGACACTGTGCATTAAAGATAGATTGCCTAAAATGGCGACATCAATGTGTGTATATAAATTCAACTGCTCCTGTGAAGATAGTTATATAGGTCGTACCCAAAAGAATTTATCTTTACGCACTCGTGAACATATTCCTGTTTGGCTTGGCAAAGAGCAACCAAATCATTAAATAGTGCAATTCTATCTCATCTAGTGGATGGCAAACACAGCATCAAAGTAGATGAGTCACTTACAGTTGTGTACCGAGTACCGAACAATCTCTCCAAAGGCACACGATTGCGCCTTCCAGCCATAGCTGAGGCTTCAGAGATTAATAGGGAGAGACCACACCTATGTGTACAGAAAAAACTTATTCACTCTCTTTGTCTACCCTGGCCCACTATAAGGTCACCAGGATGATAAATTTTCGTACTATTATTATCATTATGATCATTTTCTGATATCATGTCTTTATCATCCATTTCTCCACCCAGTGTGTTTCACCTCATTGTTACCCTTACTTTTTTGTCAACCCTTATGATTTTATTTATACCAACTGTGATCAAGATTTGACCGGAAAGTTGCAAAATAATTGACCGCTGAGTGCGAAGTAGACATTTATAAAGTTATATTTGTAAAATCTCAGTGAAATTGAAATGATTAATTCCAACGTTTCGTTCGGCAATCTGGTCCGAACTTCTTCACGGAAATTAATCGAAATTAACATAACAAAGTTTATATATAAAGGGACAGATCTTGTTTTTTAAAATTTTGTCCAATCATGAGTCATGCAACAGTTATCAATATGTATAATAAATAAATAAATAGAATTGTATATCTCTTATTTTTTAAATATGAATCAATAGGTATACTCTGTCTGTCTGTCTGGATTCAACATAGAACTTGGCACCGAAGTGCAGCACTTCGAGTTCCCACGTTCCAAATACCACACAGAGGTAGACAAGAAGATGAGTGAAGAGAATCAATACAGTCTGACAAGTATAAGAGTCAAACAGAATGGGTAATGGTAGAAAGGAATATGAAAGATTACAGAGACTGAATACATCTGCGCTGGCCATTGACAACGATTTTGAGCCATGTCACCTACTGTCTCCAGCCATTGATTCCTAGAGTCCCAAGGGCCCCAACCCGGAAGTCTGCATCTCCCTACCTGACTCAGTTTAACTGTCAAGGATTTCATGGATTGATGCCATGTTTTTGTTTGGCCACCACTGGCTCTTTTCCAACCTGAACCATTATCAGCTAGCAATGCTCGTCGGGGGAGGCGGTGGTTAGGCATGCGCAGCACGTGACCTAGCCATCTTAGTCTATGTAACTTTATAGCCTCGTCGATTAATTTTCCCTCTTTGCCCAACACTCTACGCCTAACGTCAACATTACTTATCTTATTAAACCACCTAACGTGAGACAGAGATAGCAGACATCTATGATCGAAAGCAGTCAACCTTTTCATGTCTTCAACGCGTATTGGCCATGTTTCAGAGCCATAGACAAGGACGGAGCGAACTGATGAGCAGTACACACGTCCCTTGGTTGATAACCGGATGTCACGCCTACGCCAGAGATGGTGTAAGTCAGCGAAAGCAGCTCGAGCTTTTCGGATCCGTGCTGAGATTTCATCGCCAATCAGTCCGTTGGTGCTAATACAACTTCCCAAATAGGTGAAGTGGTCAACATGTTCTAGGTATACTAAACAAAACAAAACAAAAATTGTATGAACTATGATCAAAAACTTTTTGACCTCAGACTTTCAAAATTTGTCTACTTTTGTTAAAATATATGTGTATATGCAGTATATGCAGGATACAATGGTGTGGGTGGGTGGGTGGAGCAGTCATAAAACATTTGCTATTCTCATATGAGCTGTGATCAAGATTTGACCGGATAGTTACAAAATAATTGACATTTTTATAAATATAATTTAATTTTTATAGATTTGTTATTCTCTCCATAAGAAGACGTAGACAATCGGGAATTTGACCAAGTGTGACTACTTGTTCATACATATCAAATTTTATTTTGTTTATTAGTCAGGATTTGCCATGCATCGGCTAACATCACACCTTCACGTCTGTTTAAACTGTTGGGATTCACCCATATATGTAGGGCTTCTGCAGTCAGTCTTTCTTGATATGAACCAAAACCTTTCTGTAAAACTTTAGTCTTATCAAAGTCGATTTTGTGTCCCGTTTCTATTGAATGTAGTGCAATCGCTGAGTTGTTTTCTAGCTTCTTCAAGTCTGCAGAGATCTTTGGAACCACCTTTAGACATTGTTTATGCTCTTTCATTCTTATATTTACCTGTCTAGAAGTTTCTCCTACATATACTGCGTTACAATCCCCACAATTGATCTGGTATACGCAATCCTGCTGGTTTTCTTGTTCTATTTTATCCTTAACCTTCACCAGTAATGAGCGTAAGGTGTTAGATGCACGAAAGTACACTCTTATGTTATGTTCGTTAAGGATTCGCTTTATTTCATCGGATGTTTCTTTGCGGTAAGGAACCACCGCTGTACTAACCCAATTCTTAGCAGCAGGTTTTGATTCATCCTTATCTTCACATTTTAAGTATCATTTTATGAAGGCTTTAGGATAATTATTTGACTCAAGAGTGGATTGAACTAATTTTAGTTCCTCGTTAATATCTTCATCCTCAGTAACTAGACGTTTGGCTCTGTTGATCAGATTCTTGGCCACAGTTACTTTGGTGGTAAATGGGTGAGCTGAATGGTAATCTACGTATCTATCCGAATTTGTCGGCTTTCTGAAAATGTTTATTTTAAATTTGCCGTCTAATTTTCTTTTTACTAAACAGTCCAGAAACGCCAACTCATTTTCATCGGATTCAACCTCTTTGGAGAACTTGATGGTTTCTGACACACACACACACACATACACACACACACCATTGTATCCTGCATATACTGCATATACACATATATTTTAACAAAAGTAGACAAATTTTGAAAGTCTGAGGTCAAAAAGTTTTTGATCATAGTTCATACAATTTTTGTTTTGTTTTGTTTAGCATACCTATTGATTCATTTTTAAAAATAAGAGATGTACAATTCTATTTATTTATTTATTATACATATTGATAACTGTTGCATGACTCATGATTGGACAAAATTTTAAAACACAAGATCTGTCCCTATATATATAAACTTTGTTATGTTAATTTCGATTAATTTCCCTGAAGAAGTTCGGACCAGATTGCCGAACGAAACGTTGGAATTAATCATTTCAATTTCACTGAGATTTTACAAATATAACTTTATAAATGTTTATGATTTTATACTAAGCCTACCAATTCTGTAACATCTTATTACAATTTACAATTTAACCTCTTTATTTAATCATTAGACATTGTCGGTCAGCCTTCACATTCAGTGTCTCCTTTGTTAATGTGTGTTTCTTTGTTCCATTATGGGTAAATTTTGTTTTGATAAAGTCTCACAGTGTTATACAGTAATGTTTACTGATGACGTTTCGAGCACAATTTATTGCTCATAATCATATCACACGACTTCCTAAATTCATTTGTATAGTTCCATTGTTTTTCTCTTGATTTTCACTTGATTTGATTGGTAATAGTATTTTCCATATTTCAGGTATGAGTGACGAGTCATTCCTATTTCATGTGTTGGGTGTAGACTCGATGAACAAGGATTCAGTAATCAACCTCTCTCTCCACCTACCTAGATTACTTTTTAGAATTTTAACCCTCTCCCACCCTATTGTGTGTTAGCGCATGCATTGCAATTGCTGAGCTTTTTTCTAAATTACTTATCTTCTCGCGGTCAACCATTCTTACCTTAGCTAAATTTTTATGCTCTGACAATCTGACTACCCCTGACCTACTAGTTTGACCTATGTAGTTGACCTCACAGTCATTGCATGGTATTTTGTAAATAATATTATTTTGTCTAATTGGGTCAACTGGATCCTTTAACCTACAGAGCTTGTCCCTGAGTGAGTTTGTAGGTTTAAATGCCACCCTAATTCCTATTTTATTCAGAATCCTACGTAGTGTAGCACAAAAAAGATCTAAATGATGAATTAAAACAGATAGAAGAAGCGTTGGTGTTGAATAACTATCCTATAAAATTCATTAGGAAGATCATTAAAGGCCAAAAACGAAATAAAAATAATTGTGAAACTAGTAATAATAACATAAATAAGAGAGAATATAAGTCATCCACAGTTATACCATATAAAGAGGGGACATCTGAGACACTACGTAGGATTCTGAATAAAATAGGAATTAGGGTGGCATTTAAACCTACAAACTCACTCAGGGACAAGCTCTGTAGGTTAAAGGACCCAGTTGACCCAATTAGACAAAATAATATTATTTACAAAATACCATGCAATGACTGTGAGGTCAACTACATAGGTCAAACTAGTAGGTCAGGGGTAGTCAGATTGTCAGAGCATAAAAATTTAGCTAAGGTAAGAATGGTTGACCGCGAGAAGATAAGTAATTTAGAAAAAAGCTCAGCAATTGCAATGCATGCGCTAACACACAATAGGGTGGGAGAGGGTTAAAATTCTAAAAAGTAATCTAGGTAGGTGGAGAGAGAGGTTGATTACTGAATCCTTGTTCATCGAGTCTACACCCAACACATGAAATAGGAATGACTCGTCACTCATACCTGAAATATGGAAAATACTATTACCAATCAAATCAAGTGAAAATCAAGAGAAAAACAATGGAACTATACAAATGAATTTAGGAAGTCGTGTGATTACCTTGATATGATTATGAGCAATAAATTGTGCTCGAAACGTCATCAGTAAACATTACTGTATAACACTGTGAGACTTTATCAAAACAAAATTTACCCATAATGGAATTACACTCTACCACATTGCACAAGTTTTATTCTTATATCAATGTGTTTTTATGTATTTTGTGTTTATCGCATTTCTCTCACCCCAATGACACTTGTATTCTGTTGACTATAAAACAACACTATATCACCTAATTGTTCATTCACACTTTATCACATTTTTTCTGACTATACACCCTATACACATTTATTTAACTATGCTAACTAATGGACTATCATCTCAACTTACACATGCACCCCAATACAGTTTCTGATATTATTTTCATTTGCCTTTATTGGCTATATGTACTCTATTATTCATGGATTTATAACTGTAGAGCCTGAAGAAGAAGTTATCGAAAACAACTGTTCGCTCAAAATCTTGTTTTGATTTCAATATGGGGATTTTTCATTTACCCAAATGGGTTTGGTGAGTAAATTAATAACAGTGGAACAATTCGAACCAGCAGCAAACCATAATATTTGATTATGAAAATCTAAATAAGAGAATACATAGTACATAGGATAAAGAGGCAGAAGCAAGCAACAGACTATTCACTTCATGAGTCTTAATTTAAAAATAGTGACGACTATATTTGATTTCACCTAATTGTGAGATGTGGATCGGTGGCCCAGCAGCAGAATGCTCGCCAACTACGCATGTGGTCCGGGGTTCGATCCCAGACCGATGCATTCTCTTTATCATGCTAAGTCAGTAATACGACTGGTAAAGAGGGAAGATTGAGCATGAGGCTGGCTAGCAACTCCATCCCTTAAAAAATAAACACCACTGCTAACGAAACTTCAGGCCTCTAGCTTGAAGCCCTATGTTCCACTGGGAACATAAAGGAATAAAAAACCAATGGTGAGATAAAGGAAATACAAATGACTTTATTTAGGATATGGAAGTTACATCGATTGAGACGGATAAAATATGTGTCACGCATGCAGAGCTGCCGTCTTTCTCAATGAGAAATAATAGCTGATCAGGTTGAAACATGTCATCAAACCATGAAGTCTTCTATTGTTGATTTCAGCGATTTAAGGAAGTGTAGACTGTCTACTCAGGGTCCTTGGGATACTAAGAACCAGTGGCTGCAGACTGTTGATGATGATATGGCTCAAAACTCTTGTGTTAATGGAGTATATGTACAGTACTACATTGAAACTCAGTCAGTCAGACATAGGACATACATTTTAATGTGTTTTTCTTCATCAAAGTTACTAGACTTAAGGTAAAAGATAAAATGGAAAACAACTTGGGAAGCTCTGAAGTTGGACACGAGACAATAAGTACATGAGTGAAATTTGGGTACCCTGACAGCGCATAACCCCACATTAGATAACTTTATTTCATATAACACCTACTGATATAGTGTTATTAACCAAATTAGTTTTCGAACGTGATTTACTGCTCATGATCATATCAGGGTATTCACACGACTAACCCATTTTTTTTCACCATTCTATTTACATTACACTTATTTTGTGTCACACCAGAAGGTCGCAAGTTCACGGACACTCGTTTATGTTATATGCTGTACTAAATTATTCAACTTATATTATAAACAGCTATGAGATTTGAGATTTTCAGCCTGAATGCCTTTATTCAGGCCGATAGCAGCTACTTGTCTTCACAACTACTGCTTTTTCAATACTTTGATCAGTACATACTTCTTCGACTTTGATCACCTTAAGTTTTTACAAGAATAGTGAAGCATTCAATGGAAACTACCCGGAATTGTGGGATAATAATGTAACACAAAAAGTGAGACATCTCTATAGTAACACAGATTGCTATAGCAGAAAGTTGAAGTAGATTTCTGAAAATTTTTTAACTTACCTTAACATCTCCAGATGATGTGGGCGTCAAAAGCTTACGGAGTTCATCTATTTTCCCGTTAATACTTGCACGATAACGTTTTTCAATAGCATTATGAGGTGCTCGTTTCCCAGTATCATTATTTTGTTCAGAATTTTCAGTGTTTACTTTGACATCTGGAAATACAATGATGAAATAGGTATGCATACAAATTTTTCAACTCATGGAAAATTCCTATTGTAACATATAAAAAATCAAAACAAGTGATTCAGCGAAGAGACTCTTTTTCAACCAATTTATCATCAAGCTGTACAATCATATATATATGGTTTTTAAGAAGTTATATCCTATGAGGGAATCGAATCATAGGTGTGAATGCATAAAATAATAATAATAGTAATAGTATGAAATGCAATTAAAACTAAAATGTTTGCGATTATAATCATAGTTAAATGTCAAGTGGCAAAGTAAATTAATGTCATATATAGGATAATTCATAGGTAGTATAGAACTTGGAAGGAGTGTAAAATTATAGGGTTGCTAGGCAAATCAAATAAAATAAAAACATTACGTAATACTGCTTGAAATTTGATAACAGGATTTAACGTTGCAAAACAGAATTGATTTAGAATGACAAGTAGAACGAATGAATTAATAGTAATAGTAACAATTGACGTAATAGAGGAGGAGTGTACAAATTGTGTAGACAAAACGAAAAAAATTGGTAGGGCCAAATATGATTAGTGATTGCCATACTTTAGCATGCAGGGATTAAGACCATGAAAGTTGAAGGGGTTGAACGAACTTTTTCTGCATACACAGATCTAGCTTTCCTGTTTCGATAGCCGAAGCTTTAACAATACAGATGAGTCAGGTATGTAGAGATTTGAGTAAATAACTTTTTGCCTTGTAGATGACTTTGAAGGCGGAAGCTATACAGATAGGGTGATCATTATCGACCAGGTGTTCAATGATCGTGCTTCTTATTGCTCCACATCCACCTCTTTGTAACTATGCAGGATAGTGTTCTTGCAGATCCATGTGTACAAAAACGTTCGTTCAACCCCTCTAACTTTCATGGTCTTAATCCCTCTATGCTAAAATATGGTAATCCCCAATCATATTTTGGCTCTACCAATTTTTCAATTTTTTTGATTTTGTTTATTCAATTCGTATTCTCTTCTTTATCACGTCAATTGTTACTATTGCTACTCTCACTGTGAACTGTTCCCGGTATTATTTCACTTGTTCAACTTGTCATTCTAAATCAATTCTTTTTTATGTCAAATTCTATGCTATCAAATTTCACACAATATTACGCAACGTTTTCATTTTGTTCGATTTGTCTGCTAATCCTATAATGGCACACCCTTTTTCAAGTTCTATCCATCCTATGAATTATTCTATATATGACATTAATCTGCTTTGCCACTTGACATTTAACTATGATTATAATCGCAAACATTTTAGTTTTAATTGCATTTCATACTATTACTATTATTATTATTTTATGCATTCACACCTATGATTCAATTCCCTCACGGGATATAACTTCTTAAAAACCATATATATACGATTGTACAGCTTGATGATAAATTCGTTGAAAAGAGTCTCTTCGCTGAATCACTTGTTTCGAATTTCTATACACACAAATTTTCACGTAAAATATGATTACGTCAATAAAATAAAGCCCACCATATATAAACATATTTAAAATAAGGTTGTAAAAGCGTCGATGGTTCTATGGTAGAATGCTCGCCAACCACACAAGTGGTCCAGGTTCGATTCTCGGCCAAAGCCCACCTAAACCTTTCCGACCGAAAGCTGCTACCTTGACGTGGTGGTCGGGCTTGAACACCGCAATGACCTAATCAAGCTATACTGGCTGAGACGTATGTCTCTTGAGGTTCTACCATGCCAGGCAGGTTGTTTGGATAGCGGTTAAACAAAAAGCAGCTACCCCATCCAATACCATGATTCAAACAAATTCACAAAATTTCATGCCGGATCGGCCGTGGCCCGGATTAACAACGACCGCGCTTCCTGCTGCCGTGTCACAGGGCAGGAGTGATAAGTATGCTACTGAGGCACACCAAACAAAAGAGAACAAACAAAAACAGGCCGCATGTGACCGGCCTCAAGCAGTTGTCCCCTGGGCTCTGCGGTCACGCAACCAACTTCCACGATGTGGGCAGCCGGGAAGTAACAATCGCCCTCACAATCCGAAATGTACACGAAACCTCTCTAATCCTCACTTATCTTTGTCTTCATCTTCATCTCTATCATCTTGCCTTCCTTCCACTGAGGCAACTCCTCGGCTTGACAGCTCTTCACTTCCTCTCCACTCTGCGTCTACTAAAAACGATGGAAACCAAAAAACTACCACCGACAGCCTCCGAAAGCCACGCCACCAATTTCATATAGGAGCTTTTAATGTTAGGACACTTTGTCAAATAGGACAACAAGCATCACTCACTAGCCAAGACCCTGGCATCACGAGCCATTGATGAATGCTGTGTTTCAGAAACACGCATACAAGACCCAAGTGTGGTTATTCACCTAACCCCACCTGGCCAACAGGTTGAATCTGCAAAATTCACCTTGAGAGTGTCAGGAGATGCCACAGCTAGTTCGCGAGGATTAGCTGGTGTAGGGATAGCTTTGAGTACTAGGGCAGAAAAGACATTGCTTGACTGGATCCCGGTAGATAGCCGAATGTGTGCTGTCCGTCTGAACGGATCGGTAAAAAGGACAAAGGACTGCACCACTCGCCGATGCCTTTTCGTAATCTCCGCCTACGCCCCCACTGACTGCAGTTAGGATGAAACGAAGGATGAGTTCTACCAAAAGCTGTCTAGTTTTGTGCGAAAAGCTAAACGCTCCGACATAGTCGTTCTAGCTGGTGACTTTAACGCTCAAGTAGGGAAATTGTGTCAATCTGAGAAGGATGTCGGTGGCACCTATGGAGCTCCGTGCCAGCGAACCGACAACGGTGACCGCCTCCTACAGTTCTGTTCTGATAATCATTTGTTTCTTGTAAGCACTAACTTCAAACACAAGGAGAGACACTGTTTGACTTGGAGACCCCCTTCATCAAACCAACGCTGGACACAAATAGACCACATAGCAATAAGCTATCGTTGGCGTGGGTCGGTAGGAGATTGTCGCTCCTTCTGGAACACGTGTGTAGATACCGATCACGCACTGGTCCGGGCTCGTGTGTGCTTACGACTGAACGGACGTAGGAAACAGCTGGCGGTAAAACCATCACGTCCCCAGCTCGATCAGGAAACGGAAGAATATTAAGTCAGCTATAGATACAGCTGTAAAAGCTGTGAATAAGGCAAATCCAAAGGTGAGTAAAAACCACTGGATTTCGACTGCCTCATCCGAACTGATAGATGCTAGAAGACTTATTCCGGCGAGCTCCGAATTCAATGAGGAGCGAAAGCTGCACAAAAGGAAACTTACTAAAAGTCTCCGCAAGGACCGTGAACAGTGGTGGCTGACAAAGGCAAAAGAGATGGAAAAAGCATCGGCGATAGGCAACACTAGGCAACTCTTTAGACTCATCAGGGAAACGGGTGGGAGAAGGCAAATCATAAGTGAGACTATTTCTGAGAAAAATGGCTCCTTAATTAGCTCTCAGGATAGACGCCTTGAACGCTGGAAAGAACACTTTGAGGGACAATTTAACTTGCCTACAGCCACACTGAACCTCCCCGACATCCAGCACACACCCGAATGGGATATAGACACTGGTCCGCCGTCTGTAAGTGAGGTCACAAAAGCTATCAGTAATTTGAAACGAGGCAAAGCGGCAGGACCCGACGGAATTATTCCGGAGGTGTTTAAATATGGGGGTGACATACTAGTTTGTAGATTAACTGAGGTACTAGGCAAAGTCTGGGAATCAGAGACAGTGCCATCAGACTGGGGTAAGTCACTTATTATACCGATATTCAAGAAGGGAAACAAGTCCTCGTGTGATAATCATAGGGGGATCAGCCTAACGAACATAGTCTCTAAAATCCTAGGCTCAGTAATCATGCATAGACTAAGCAGAACTCGGGAGGAACAGACAAGGGAAAATCAAGCAGGCTTTAGACCAGGTAGAGGGTGCATAGATCATATCTTCACTCTTCGACAGATTCTAGAACATAGACACACTTTTCGGCGTCCAACAATTGTCATATTTCTTGACTTGAAGGCGGCCTTCGACTCCGTGGATCGAAAGGTACTATGGCAATGTCTGACTGTGAAGGGAGTGCCAAGAAAGTACATTGCACTAATCAAGGCACTCTATTCAAACTCACGTAGTCGTGTAAGGGCTTATGGGGAATTGTCATCTGAATTGGTAACAACCAGTGGTGTCCGACAGGGATGTCCACTTTCCCCATTTCTGTTTAACTTCATCATAGATATGCTAATGGAAGTATCCTTAACTGAACGTAATGACTTAGGAATCGACTTGTTACCAGGGAATAGTCTTATGGACTTAGAATATGCAGATGACATAGTCCTGTTAGGGGAGGATGCTGACAAAATGCAGAGTCTTCTGAACACCTTGAGCAGCAATCTTCGTATGTTTGGCATGCGATTCGCCCCTACAAAATGTAAGATGCTGCTACAGGACTGGACCACGTCAACTCCTAACTTAGTGATAGGGAGTGAAGTGATAGAACATGTTGACCACTTCACCTATTTGGGAAGTTGTATTAGCACCAACGGACTGATTGGCGATGAAATCTCAGCACGGATCCGAAAAGCTCGAGCTGCTTTCGCTGACTTACACCATCTCTGGCGTAGGCGTGACATCCGGTTATCAACCAAGGGACGTGTGTACTGCTCATCAGTTCGCTCCGTCCTTCTCTATGGCTCTGAAACATGGCCAATACGCGTTGAAGACATGAAAAGGTTGACTGCTTTCGATCATAGATGTCTGCGATCTCTGTCTCACGTTAGGTGGTTTAACAAGGTAAGTAATGTTGACGTTAGGCGTAGAGTGTTGGGCAAAGAGGGAAAATCAATCGACGAGGCTATAAAGTTACATAGACTAAGATGGCTAGGTCACGTGCTGCGCATGCCTAACCACCGCCTCCCCCGACGGGCATTGCTAGCTGATATAGGTGCAGGTTGGAAAAGAGCCAGTGGTGGCCAAACAAAAACATGGCCTCATCAATCCATGAAATCCTTGACAGTTAAACTGAGTCAGGTAGGGAGATGCAGACTCCCGGGTTGGGGCCCTCGGGACTCTAGGAATCAATGGCTGGAGACAATAGGTGACATGGCTCAAAATCGTTGTCAATGGCCAGCGCAGATGTATTCAGTCTCTGTAATCTTTCATATTCCTTTCTACCATTACCCATTCTGTTTCACTCTTATACTTGTCAGACTCTATTGATTCTCTTCACTCATCTTCTTGTCTACCTCTGTGTGCTATTTGGAACGTGGCAACTCGAAGTGTTGCACTTCGGTGCCAAGTTCTATGTTGAATCCAGACAGAGAGACAGTCGGTAGTAAGCCCAGCGCAGAGGGAAGATTGTGAGAGGGACTAGCAGCAGTACGCTGTAAAAATAACACCGCCACTAGTGAAACTTCAAAACTGAAGTTTAAAGTCCCAGGTCCTACTAGGAATGAAAAACGTCCTAGGGGAGTATGCATAGCATTTCATTCGGAATTATATCACATAAATTATTTTACAACTCCCCCCCTCAAGGTATTTTGTTTCAATTACTCTCAAAGCTTGCTAAAAAAAGATGTGGTAGTCAAAATTTATGGTAGATAACAGAGGATAACAGAATAATAATTTGTCTTGTTTCACTACATTTTATAGCTGAGCAGACAAGTCTGGGAATGAGTTATAAAGGATGCAGATAAGCAGAAAGTACCATTAAATTCTGTGATATGATCATCGAATGATGACCTCTAAAGAACTGGTTGATTGCGAATAGTCATCAATGACGCTTAGTACTTATTACTAACTAAAATTCCTAATTTTCTTTGTTTTTGTTTGCCTAAGACGATCGATCTTTGACAGCATATCAACTTCTAGGACACAATCTGTCTGATGACATACCAAAGAAACCACTATTATCTAATTAATTAATCTGCTGTGTGAAGCCTGTCACCACTCACATCCATGGATCTGCTGCTCAGTGGTTTGGACTTTTGACTTCTAACCAATGGGTTACAAATTCAAACCCTGCAGCACCTAACGATGTTTCGGAAGCCAGATAGCATCACGAACTATCACATAATAGATGCGGCTTATGGCCAGCTGTGCATGAATTCTCACCAGTAGTTACCGCATAACATTATCACTGACATATGTAGTCATGGGATATTACTATTTTATTGCTAAAAGCCAGTAGGTTTCAGAAGACCTTTTACTTTGAAGTCTACTGAGTTTTCCATAAGAATCCAAAGTTGGGTGTGGTTATACGAGACTCAGTACTAATTTAATGCTGTAGAAAAGATCCCAATGGCAATGATCTTTAAAGGTTTTACAGACATGAATTCCGAGTTAGTTACGTGATGCAGTAATACATGTACATGCAACACGGCTATAATTGTCAATCTGAAATCAATAGATGACCATATCTCTTTTTTGAAACAACCAAAGTCTCGTATGCAGGGAAATGAAGTGTACTCTTATACGAGGCAACTGAGAAGATGGATGCTTATCATGTTTACAAAATTTTACCACTTAAAATACAAATGCTTAATCCCGTCTTCTTGAAACCACTCATTTGAGACAAATAGAAGGAGAAACATAAACAGAAGTGAAATTTCGAGTAACTGTCTACCACACATTTTACCCTTTAAATAAAATATACTACAAAAACACAGTCTGCAACACTTAATATAAACGAAATTGAGACATCATGAGGCATAATGATTAAATTCCTGACATTAAGAATGGACTCACCTTTTTCCTCACCTTTATAGACTGAGAAATCAGTCTTTTGATTACCAGAGTTTGTTGAGCAATACTGGGCAGAATATGGAGTTCCCAAGCCACATATGTCTTTATTGAGATTAACATTTTCTGCTTCTGAATTACACAGCAGTTTGGATACCAAAGGCACATGAAATGTATTTTGAACAGGTGTAGGAACGTAAGTATATGGTTCAACCTGAAGACGGTTGGAACAGTCTAGAGAGATAGCTTCCTGTGTAAATCTTTGTTTATTAAGACCGTTATGTCCATCAACAGCAGTTAAGGTGTCTGGTCCTGAGACAATTGAGAAATAAACACAAATAAATTACCTGTATGTGTCGTAATGACACCAGAAACTGGCTTTGACTTCACTAACGATTCAACAGTCTTCTTTTCTGATGCTCCATTATTCAAATTTCTGATCTCCGAATTGTCCCAAATGGTGGACAAATCGAAAGAGATATCATTTACATCGATGTCATCTAAAATGCTTTCAGAAATGTCATTAAACAGTTGTTCATCGAATATATGCGACAAAGTCACTAAACACATATGAATAATTAGTTGCTTGAATATCAATGTCACCTGGCTCCATAATTGTTGCAAATGAAAACAGTTTCCATTCAAACTTTTAAGTACTTCCACCTCCTATGAAACTTATCAGGGAACTACGGGCCTGATAATCAAAGAAAGGTGATCGATAAAAAAGCCTGGTATTATTACCAGACAAAAGCTGGTAAGTTTGGTCAGAAAATAGCAGGATGCAATATAACGCTGAAAGACAAGAAAAGGAAGTATTATGAAGCATTATGACGATGAGATTGATTTAAAATTCATTTGCGACTTAATCCTGATGCTGTGAGCTTTACATAAGGTACCACAAAGAGGAAATAAAGCTTAGATAATGTTTTATATGGGTTCAGCATAATCACTGACACATGTGCACACTACCAGCATTAACATCCTTTTAACATCAATATATCCACCTTGTAGGGTCTCATTACCCTATTAATTACGATCTATCTGTGTCTTCAGCATTAACTACACATGCATCAAGGCTAACACCATCCCACAGGAAACACTTAGTTCATTTCAAAAAGGGCCTCACGAAACGAAACCAGGATTCCTAAGCAGGTGCTACGATAAAATTTACACTGCCTTGGTGCACCTCCCTTATCATAGTATGGATACTGTGACAACCTTCAAAGGCATCTGTTTAGTTAACAATATAACGTCGGGATTAAACAAGTGTAGTGTCGTCTAGCGTACACCTCGATAACTCACCTTGAAATGAAGCGGACAGTTTATAATTTGCGCAAACTTCGGAACGAATCCAACGCTCAAATTGAGCGCCCGGGTTTTTGTACCATGAATGGTAGGATTTGAACTTATGGCTATCCTCTTTTACTGGGAATCTGTGTTCGCATATTTCTTTCTTGAGTAATTAAACTAGAATTCAGCTTCAAATTCAGTGTTCCAATAAGAGAACAGTTTTTCCATAGTGGTAAGGTTTGTCGTAAGGTATGGAAGTCTCCATCCATATCTTATGAGACGTCACGACGACAAGGAAAGAAATTCAGAAAATAGATGAGATCCACGATTGTTTCTTAGAATTTCTAACATCAGTCTCAGGCCTTCATTATTATTACAATATTATAGTGAGAATGGATTCATTCCGTGAAGTCGTTCCTCGTACAATAAATCAATCCTTTCCCTGTCGTGTTGATGTGGAGTAAAATTTATTGTGACTAGATGTGATGTACATAAAGAAAATCGCTAAATTTACACTGACTGCAAAGCTTGCCCTTAACATCTCTATTTTATATTTCCTATTGGATTCTTCTAAGTCTCCCCAGCTACTTCCTGATTCAAATTTACATTGGCTTTAACTTTCACACACAAATTAACGTACCTATATTTGCGTAACACACAGCCGTGTAAGCCGACAGTTATGTGCTCAATCAACTAGTTATAACATTTTCTTACGTCGATGAAAAGTACCTGTTTTAGAAGACAGGGAGGCAGTCCCTGGGTTGGGACACTAATTTACTGTCAACAATCCATGCGTGCAACCCAGTTTAGTGACCCAATTCCGTCACAACTCAATGACTCGATCTGGGTTGAAATAAAAGTTGTCAAAAGTAAACCTATACCTGTGGGTTGTGTGTACCTACCCCCTTCATCCAGCAGGGAGAATGATAATAGGCTCAGCAACGCTTTTAATGTTACAGCCAATCTTCCCTTCAGTTATAAAATTATTGAGGTGATTTCAACATTACAGAAGTATCATGGTCCCCAACCTGAGGGCCCCAAAGGTTTGATAATCTCAATTCCATCGTCACAGGAGGGTGGATGCAACACACAGATTCACTCACTAGATCCGCAAACATCGTAGAGGTTATCTTCAAGAACAGCGCAACACCATCTACAGTATATGGTGAGCATGAATTTTTAGGTATTAACCATTAAAGCGATTATATTGCGGCATTGTCAAGTAGACATTTACGTAAGCACTAGACAAAGTAGTACAGATATCATGACTTATCGTCATTAATTGGTATTACGTCCCTTCCCAATAGAATTGAAGAGTTGAGAAGTATAGGCCCCAGAATTAGAGAAACGACGGCTATTTAGCCACTGCATAACCCAGGAGAAATAGACCAACTTCCTAAAAGTAGGTTAACAGACTCAAATACAGCCTATTCAGAAATAATTCTACTCAGACGACATCGCTTACAAAAACAATGAGGCGATATGTGAACTGTTTAGCAAGCAAATTGCCAGATAATACACCCTGGAGAATGATGAGGCCTACAGCTGATATCAACAATTACCACCCCATCAACATCACGTCTGTAGTTTCGTGTGCAATGGAAAAAATAGTAAAGACTCAAATCATTCATCCCCATCGTAATACGGTTTCTTAAGTAGAAGTTCGTGCATTACTCGCCACTTAGATTATTTTGACTACATTACACAATGCATTGATAATGGGCGTTCGGTAACAAAATTATTTCTCGACGTTATTAAGGCCTTCGATAAAGTCCCACATATCAGACTCCTAACAAAACTCCAATCCTACGGAATAACCGGAAAGCTATTTCAAATGGATAAATTCTTTTCTCACAAATAGAGAGCAATTAGTCAAAATCAACCACCAGCTGTCTTCATCAAAGCCGATAACTAGTGGTGTAATACAAGGTAGTGTTCTTGGCCCTATTCTATTCCTCTTATTTACAAATGACATAGTCTCTGTGATCAAGTATGGCAAGCCATACCTTTTTGCAGATGATCTCAAGATAGTATATGATTATGGGCACGGTGATATGAGCGTCGAAAGCAAGATCCAACAAGACATAAACGATTTAGGTGATTGTAGCGAAAAGTGGCAATTGACTTTCAACCCAGACAAGTGCGGTATAACCCACCTTGGACGCTGGAAACCGATAATGTGCCTATATATGTACGGTAAGCTCCTCTCAAAACTGAACACAGTCACAGATCTCGGGATAACATACTCAGATTCATCCTTTTCCGATCATGCAGATAAGGCAGTATCTGACTGTAAACGACTTACTGGCTTTGTACTGTGTGAATTTTTACACCCAAGAAGCAAGATTAGCTATATATAGGACATGTATCCGTCTCAAACTTGAATATTGGTCCCTCTTGTTTTAGAGACCTAGGGTCTGTAGACAGAAAAAATTGAAAGTGTCCAGAGATTCTTCACGAAACACATAATAGGGTTCGACCAACAAGTGGAATATGTTGACAGGTGTGTATGTCTGAAATTAGAACCTCTGTGGTTAAGGAGAGTGAAGTGCAACCTATTTCTACTCTTCAAAGTCATTAGGAAACATTGCTACAGTAACTGATCCATAACGTGGGAAAATATTAAATCATATCAGCTGCGAAACCACGACTACCTTATCAAGGTGGCTACCCACAGAAAATCCATTAGAGCAAACCTTTTCACCATAAAATATTGCACACTTTGGAACCAACTACCATGAGAATTTTGATATTACGAAAATCCCGATAGGCCCTAAGGGGGCCTGGAAAGACACATTAACACGTCAACGCAAGGTTGTCTAATGGAGGAAAACTGTTGGTCGAATGGCAAATGAAAGCCAGTCCAGTCTCCAGTATAGTTACATACGTGTAACAAGAGACCAATACCCACGCAGCGAACGTTTAACAAATTTGCAGATTTCTACCCTCTATAATCTACAATAAGTTGTGTTGGCATAAAAAAACCTGAAATAATTATACTGGCTAAAACACCTTTAAAAAATTTACATATATATATACACAGTAAATAGTACAATAATATTATCAGTCAACTCTCATAAACTGTCAATGTCCAGGTCTTACTTCGCTAGACCCCACGCTGTCCCTGGAAGACATTCGAAAACAATTTGTATTACCAACGCGAGAAAACCAGAACACAGATTGGCGACTCTAGAATCCTTTATTCTCACGCCAATATGTAACCAACAATAAGGTTATTAAACAAGGTCTAAGAATAAATGTTATGCCAATAAATCACGATAATACCTCTGTTAGTTTTACTCTATCTTCCACCGAACCGTGAACGATGAGACGGTGACTGACGTAATGATGACTCCCGCGAAACATATGGAGTTGAGTTCGAGCAAACAACAATGAATGGATCGTTCAATCTTCAGCTTCATTGACACTCCCCAGCAAAAAAGGGATCCATCCCTCTCTTCCATCACGATCAATACACGTTGACTTGGATGCCAGTGCGAGAACCTGGGTCACACGGACAAAACTGAAATGGAAAACAAACAGAAAAGCCAACACACCACAAGCATACTCACAGCACAATCTCACACATCAATGACGACCTGCGCCTCCAGGCAGAGACCCCCACTTGACATCTTGCAACACAATCGCCACTTGCTAGAATGACTCTTGCAGAATGCAACGTGACCATAGCACCACCTCACGATACTCTACGCACATCCTCTTATCTACTCACTACCAATTACCACTGCAATCGCTTGTCACTCATTCTGCCTCAGTTCTAGTAACGGTGACGTATGCGAGCCTCAGTCGTTTACACTCTTTCTCCCCGGCGTGTCGGACCGCAGCTAACAATTATCTCCGTGTGCATTTCATTCTCAGCAATAGCCTAGCCTCCCGGCGTATACGACCCATCTGCTGTCCTTAACATCAATCAATTCATTCATGGATGTAGAAGACTCGAAACAACTTCAGAAGTAATCACGACGAAAATTTTAACAAAATTATGCAATAACAACAAGGTACGAAAACAACGAGTAAACACAATGAATCCAAAATACACCAATTGATATGACACACCACACATATATGCAAACAGTACACACAAACTCGCGGATCACATCTTGATGGAATTCCTTTGAAGAATCGCAGGACTTACACCAGTACGCCTACAACCCTTCACAGGTTGACGATTGTAAGTTGTGGAATGTCCGGACACAAACAAGATTAACCAACAATTACAATAATTGGAACTCACACAATTATTTAACACAAACATATGTACAATCAATACATCAAATGTTGTGGATTCTGGCTTGACGAACT